ACCCCCTCGGTGGATGTCAACATAGACTTCGTACTGGGTCTCTCCAGGACACAGATGAATATAGATTCTGTAATGGTTGTCGTGGTTCAATTTTCAAAAAATGACACATTTCGTACCTTATCACTGCACACTAGACACCTCTCATATCGCTGACTTATATTTCAGGGAGATCGTCAGGTTACATGGGATTCTCACAACCATTACCGCTGACAAAGATGTCAAATTTTGGAGCCCCTTTTGGCATTAATTATGGGGGAAGTTAGACACTAAGCTCCAATTCAAATCAACAGTTCACCCACAGATCAACAGTCAAACCGAAATAGTGAACATGAGCTTGGGAAACCTACTAAGATGTTTTGTCAGAAAGAAAACCAAACAATGGGACCTCATTCTAGCTGAAACTGAATTCACCTACAACATATCCACCATAACGGGACAAGACCCTTTCTAGATTGTCTACGACTGCAACCACTTGACCTATTTCTACTCCTGCCAACATTAGAACTCAGCCAATATGCCACCGAGTGAGTTCACGAAATCCAACAATTCCACGAGGAGGTTGGCAACGAGATTGTTAGACAACAAAAAAATATCAAACATAAGAAAACAAATCATGAAAAATGTAACATTTCAAGATGGCGGCCTTTTCTTGATGCTAATATTTATTCTTCTTCTAATTTTAAAACCTTTCATAAAACTAAAATATGATTTTTATTCTCCCTGTAGTTTCAAATAAAATTGAAATTTGATTTTATTTCCTTATTTTAAAGGCCCTAAAATCTGATTTTATTCTCCTTATTTTAGCTTTTCCTAATTGAGTCAATTCTCTTTATAAATAGGACTTGATGTGCCCTGAGTTAGGGGTTTTAATTTTGAAATTTCAAATTCAGTTTTATCCGAGTGTTTCCCTCTTGAGGGCTGTATCCGATGACTAGGAATGTACTCGTCCGATGTGGTGATTATCTTCGTCATTCCACGCAGTACGCCGATGTTTCAATCACCCTCCACACCGCCGACCACCTCCCTACCAGCCAATAGCCACCCGATTCCCTTGCTGCTCTTCCTAGATTGCCGCCAAGTTCCACTGCAACTTCCTTGTAGGATTGTGGAAGTCTATTGCTGTGTCTCCAGATCGTCGACCAACTTTCCTACAGGCAATTGCAGCCTTACCACTCTTCTGCCCTTCTGGACAATCACCGATTCCTCTGTTGCTTCACTGCAGGCAGTTCTCAACCCACTTGCTGTCCTTCCGGATGACTCCACTGTAGACCTGCATTTGCAGCTCCCTGCTGCCCTTCCAGCACCATCGCCGAAAGCTTCTCTGCACCCCTCCGCCTGTTGCCACCTCACTCTTAGAAGGGCGCAGCCTTTGTCAGGCCTTCCCAGCGCCTCCACCCGCTGCCTCCCTCCTTTCTACAACTCATGGTCTTTCTCTGCCTCCACTCCTCGGCTTCGACCGCCATTCTTGCCTCCGTTCCTCGGCTTCAGCTGCCATCCTTGCCTCCTCAGGATTTCACCCTTCGACAAAGTTTTCCTCTTCTTCCAGCCGTGGTTTGATGCCTCGACGAATGCAGACTTGCTGCCCGCTTTCGCCCTACATCGCTCCGACATTCACCGCAACCGCCGCTCCAGCATTATCTCTCTGACTCCCTCCTCATTGAGCTTGTTGTGCTTTTATTTGTTGAGCCTTTGTTTGTAATGTTTTGCTTTATGTTTTGATTTTTGTGATCTTCCTTTTTTTTTGAGTCATCGTTGTGACCGATCTTTTAAGTTATTATTAAATTCGTATCTTGCATCGTGGTTTGGGTTAACTCTGGTATCAAGGAAGTTATTAAAAAGCTGGCCTAAATAATGAAATAGTGCTATGTTGTAGCATGGAAATATGAAAGAGGGTAATGTGATTAATAACAAGAAGAATGTTTGGTTAATATGTTTATAATCTATTGTTATGATACTTGAGATTAATTTGCTCCATCTCTGACTTTATTATCTTTCTTCAAATGCTCCATCTCTGACTTTATTATCTTTGTTCAAATGCTATTAATTGTCTTCTTGTCTGATGAAGGATTGAACCGTCAGTATATTGTGTGATCTGCAAAGAATCTATCTTGGGCTTTTATGGAGATTGTTTTTATGTTTCCATTGAACTGTATCATAATCTTTTTGTAGTCATCTGAATACTCCATCTACATATTAGCAACTGTATCATAATCTTTTTTGTAGTCATCTGAATACTCCATCTGCATATTAGCATTTGTGCTTAAAAAATTTAGTTATTTGATTATACTTCGTAGATGTTTGACTAATTTGTTGTTTAACAACATTAGAAGTTTTAGTAAATCTTACACATTTTTTATAGTTTTTATAACAAATATTTCTATGCTTTATTCTGCTTCATCATAAAACCATGAGAGTGCTGATACAAAAGTTGAATCTAGGAGATCTATAGTAAATCTTACACATTTTTTCAAGTTTTTATAACAAATATTTCTATGTTTTATTCTGCTTCATCTTAGAACCATGAGAGTGCTGACACAAAAGTTGAATATAGATCTATTTTCCATCAGATAACTATTCATGGTTTAATACTTTCCTACTTATATTGTGGATTAATAAACAGTTGCTGTAAAATTTTATACCTTAACATATTTATATAACTTTTTAAGCATTTCATGGATTTTAAAGTTTAAATCTTTTATCCTGGAAATAAATTTAAGGGTGAGTTTGGGGCGGCGGTGCGGTCGCGCACCGTGGTTTTTTTTGTTTGACAAAACAACATTTTGTCCGTGTTCTCAAAAAAATGCAGCTAAAAGCTGCATTTTCCTACCAAACCTGACTATATGCGGTGGCTGCCAGAAAATTACAGTCTGACTTAAAAAAAAAAAAAATCTTTTGTAATAACCTGCACAACTTTTTGAACAACATATTCTTTTTTAGTAGCTTCACAACTGCTTCTTTAAATATTACATCAGGATTTCACATGCAATCTCGAGCTGCTTGAGGAGTGCAATCTCGAGCTGACACGTGGAAAGTCGGGCCCACCTCCATAAAAAATGAAAAAAAGAATGAAAACGCGCGACCCGACCCAACCGTGCTATAAGAATATTCTCTTCGCGTTATTCTGAATATTTTTTGTTTTATTTATGTGTTGTTGATGTGTTATTGTGGTGATTTTGAGATATTATTGTTCTTTAAACAATAATACCAATAACACATGAATAACGCAGAAAATATTATCTCAATAACACACCAATAACGCATGAATAACACATCAATAACACATTAAAAACGCGTGACCCAGCTCAACCGTGTTATAAAAATATTCCCTTCGCGTTTTTCTAAATATTTTCACGTTATTCTTTTGTTATTGGTGTGTTATTAATGTGAATTATGGAGAACGACATTTTCAAATATTGCCCTTTATATTTTATTTATTGATTATCTATTATAATGAGGTTTATTAATTATTTTTCAGAAGTTTATGGTTAATAGTATTTTTTGAGACTATACAGTAAAGCAAATATTTATAGTAACATGTATCATTTTTAAAGTAGAACAATAATGTAAAATAATCATTTGTACATAGCTAAATTATCATTTTATTCCTATAACACACTAATAACACATGAATAACGCGATAATAAATATTCCTATAACACGTTCAAGCCTGGTTGCTCGTTTTTAATGTGTTATTTGTGTGTCATTGCTGTGTTATTGAGGTAATATTTTCCGCGTTATTCATGTATTATTGATATTATTGTTTAAAGAACAATAATATCTCAAAATCACCTCAATAACACATCAATAACACATGAATAACGTGGAAAATATTCAGAATAACGTGAAGGAAATATTTCTATAACACGGTCGGGTGGGATCGCGCGTTTTCATTCATATTTTTGTTTTTATGGAGGTGGGCCCGACTTTCCACGTGTCAACTCGAGATTGAACTCCGCAAGCAGCTCTTCATGCGGAGTCCTGAGGTAATATTTTTTCGGAAATAGACCCTTAATTTGCGAGGGTTGCATTCATCATTATGTTGGTTCTTGTTAGCTTAACTCTTTTAATTGAAACTTTGGTATGATTTTGGACTTGTAATCATATGATTCTATTAGTTAATTTGTAAACAAATATAAAGGAATATACTATGAATGACTACATTGGTTGGAGAAGAGTAGTTAAAGAGTAAAAATAATAGCAAAATATTTCAAAACTATTTCATAGTTTTAACTATTAAATAATTTCATAGCTCAACAAAGAGTCGAGGACTGATGGAAATTTGGCAGGTACAGGAATCGTAGTTTTATATCAAGGAAATAATGAAAATCCGAAACAATTCATTACTTTCAATAATTTGAGAAGTCTGTAAATCAGAAGAAGTGTTGCAGGTGCAGGAAAGTTTCGTCAGCTTTGTAGGAGTATACTGGGAAGAAAATGTTAAATCAGGATTAATTCAGGATCAGTTTAGATTTGAAAGGCTTAGCGTTTGATTTTCCTGAAATTCAGTAGATGAGGGTTAGGATATTTTTTTTCTTTTTGCTGCAAAGTAAAGTGGCTTTTTAATAGCAGCGTGGTATGCCATTTGTGTTGCTTTCAGCTTAATTTTCTTTATTAGTTGAGGGCATGGTATGCATTATATACACTTTAAATCTTCTGATCCTGACTATCACATCATATTATGGTATGCCATGCCTGATACACAATCCTTATGCTAATTTTTGTATTTTCTGATATATTAATGGACTATTTTGACAAATTACTGAAATCTTATTGATCTCTTTTTTATTATGTGCTATTCATATGGATGAGGTATTCTCATGGTTTGTCCTTAAGAATATTTGGCGATTCATCATAGCCTTTCAATGCCAGTTTACTCGGAACTTAAATTTAAGATGGCATTAGCATTTTATTTTTTGTGATGCAGTAGTACTTAAAGAAAGTTCCTGTGAATTCCTTCCTCCAGTTGGTACATGTTAACTTTTTTTATATTGGTTATGCAGAAAAAGTGATTGCTTCAATTGATTCGAAGAAAGTGGAAATTCATCAGAGGTATGCAAAAACTGTATCTTCATGGTTTCCCTTTTAATATATATTTAAATTTTAATATATATATGCCAACGTAACAATTCCGAATCAGATTCTGAACGTCAAAGTAATGAAATTTTCTTTGGGAAATTTACATACATACCACACAATTCTTATGTATTTAGAGATCTAATATCTAAAACATGATATTTACACTTCTAACATCTTAGTTTTATAAACCTATGCATGAAATTGTGTATTTGACTTTTAAAAAAGTTGATGATGGTCGTATTTTTAAAGTTATGTTAAAGATTTGAGTAGTATGCATGTAATATGAATGTTTAGGCGATATTTAAATACATACAACATATGTGATGTTTATGCAAATGCCTCTTTTTCTTTATCTTGCGAGTATTTCTTTGATGTGGTGATTACCACTTTCCCGAAAAGAATGGCTCTCTCAAAATTATATGCTTGTAAAGGTGTGATAATGATTGATGCTTGTGCTGGTAATTTGCATATTTTATACCTATAGGAACCTTATGTAGGGCTTTTTCCATTGTCTGAATGTGCGCAGTGGGATTGGATAATATCATATCTTTCATTGATGTATGGATTACAAATTTGAAGTCACATTTCATCTGTACTTATTTAGGGAGGTGACTTGTCAGATATCTTTAACACAGATGAAAATTAGTTATTTCTACTTAGTACTGCACGTTTACTTATGTCTGTCATAAATTTTGTTTAGAGTAACTTTCATTCATGTTAGTTTGTCTCAGTCCTTTACCTTTCTTGTACTCACCAAGAGATTTTGATCTATTGCTGCTTTCTATTCTCTCTAATTATAGTGTCAAATTAATTCAAACTACTTTCTGATACACATGATAGAGATCCAGTAATATTAGAGTGAAGAAGAGGTACAATCACAATCATCTTGTGGAATAATAGTTTAATTGGGTGTTCAAATCACTCTTATTGCTGATCTTTTTTTTTTGTTTCATTTTCATACAACCATATTGTAAAGTCACAAAAATATTATGCTTCATTGTCTTTGTATTTTTTTAATTTGTTTCACTTTTCTTAAGAAATTATGAGATGAATAGTTTTATAAATCTTCTAAAAAAATTAAATAAAATAGTTTTATAAATCTCTATGAAATATCACACAATTTAGGCTTAAATATATGCCTGGAGAAGTTTTTTCAACTTTTTTTTATCAAAGCTATTGAAGATGTAAGTTTTTGGCATCAAATGTATAATAAGCCAACAAAGATAAAATTGTTATAAAAAGATTAATTTTGTCTTGGGGTCTACACATTTAGCTACATTTTTTTATATTCTAAAAATCAGATCGCAGCTTTCTAGCAATCAACACATTTAGCCGGGCCTGGTTGCAAAACACGGCTTTTGGCTACATTTTTTTGAAAAAGCAAGCAAAACGGAGTTTTACCAAACAAAAAAAGTGCAATGCGGCACTGCACTGCCAACCCAAATGCACCGTTAGTCCTTTAGTTTCTTTGAACTTTCTTGAACTCACGGAGAGATTCTGGTCTTAGTGCTGCTTTCTATTCTTTCCTGTATGTAGTGTCAAACTAAAACTGCATTCTAATACACATGATAGAGATCCAGTAATGTTGGGTTGAATAAGACATACAATCACAATCATCTTGTGGAGTAATAATTTAATTGCGCGTTCAAATTACTCGTATTGTTCATCTTTTTATTTGTTTCATTTGCATACAACGCATGCTGTAAAGTCACAAAGATATCATGCTTCATTTTATTTTGTATTTTTAAGTTTGTTTGTTACTTTTTTTATTAAGAAATAATGAGATGAATAGTTTTGTAGATCTATCAATAAAAAAGTTTTAAAAAATAATTTTATAAATTTCTATGAAATACATATGTGGAGAATTTATTTCAGCATTTTGTATCAAAGCTATTGAAGATGTAAGTTTTTGCTATCAAATGTATAAGCCAACAATGGTAAAATTATTTTGAAAAGACTAATAAAGATCTCTTCAAATTTTAAAGCCGCTATCTTATAAATGATACCCCAAAAAAAAAGTTCCACCACATCATGATGGAAATTATTGTTTTGCTTCCTTTTAAAATTATTATTATTTTTTATTAAGATTAGGTTATAAATTCCTTAATAAGAGAGAACTCTTCAAAATGCGGCCTTCTTAAGGCCCATCCACTTTTTTTATTATTTCTTTGCTCTGCTTTTGTTTTTTATATAGTAATAATGTAATGCACCATATATATTGTTTTCTGACTGGTTTTTCATCCTTCATGCTCTCCCTATTTGCCACTTCTATATTTTTCTACTCCATATTATGCAGCTAATTCATTTTCATTTGAGAAGGGCTTTCTTTTTCCCTAATGATATTAACTTATTTGAAGGTACCATGGCGGTCAGCTTTTCTTAAGTCATTTTGATGTAATTCTGCTTGCATGTCGTTTATATCCATATCCTCTTGTGTTATAGTTCATGCTTATATATAGGCCTCATACGAGATTTTTCTTTGATGTAGGTTTTGTGGACTGTTTATTTTCAGTTTCATATCCACTGTAGTCCACTACTTCACATTTTGTTCTATATATTCTCATCCCCTTGTCTTCTAAAGTTAAGATCTGAAATATTAAATTTTACAAACTAGTTTGTCCTAAAAGAATGGTTTAATCTCTACGCTTAGCTTTGTTTGAACCTCATTGCTTTCTTCTTCAGTAACACTCAAGGAGATCCGGTTACTTGATTGTGTATTTTTTAGTTGTTCATTTTCTTCATTCAGAATACGTTTCCTCAAGCCTCTGCACAGTTGATTGTAAATGGAAGAAGACTTTTAAATTAAGAAATACCTGTATGTTTGTTACTCCAGGAGAATTTTCACTCCTAGCATCATCTGTCAGAAATTTTATGCAAAATATGAGAATTCATATTTTGCATTTGATTGTTTATCTTAAACTACTATTATTTGGAATCTATTTTATTAATTGTGGTATAATATGCATTCATATTTGTGTAGATATTTGCAGTGGTTAATCGAAGATCAAGGCTCGGAGGATACGCACTTTCATACATTATATGCTGTTTCTCTTGCAAAATCAGCTATTGAATTAGTTGAAAAATCCAATGGGATGAATCTAACTGATATTGTGAATAAAGATCCTCTTGCAAATCATATTAGGGAAAGGTTGCAGTTATTCTTGCAGTGTTCGGATTTGTATGATCCTGAAGTAGTGCTTAAGGTTGTAGAATGGTCGGAGTTGTGGTTGGAAAAGGTATCAGAATTGCAATTTCTATTCTATCATTTGTAAACAATTTCCATAATCTGTTACTTGCATGTCTATATCTGTACTTTTAGTTCAATATGATAAAATTATATTTTAATAATGCGGATCTTTTTCCTAATATCGTTAGTTTAATATGGTTAAATTTATATTTTAATAATGAGGCTCTTTTCCCGATGTCGGAGTAGTCGGGGTTTTTAATTTGGTTACAGTTTTGATCCTATTGAAAAAGAGATTTAGTTTTGGCGGTGATGCCAGATAAGAGGGGGGATGGAGAAGATTCATCAAGAATAGCCAAGACAACAATCCGAGACATGAGAAAACATCCAAAACAATGAAGAGATGCACTAATCAAATAAAAGATACATGAGTGTTTTATTCTCTTAATCGATCGGGATACAAAAATCACGACTCGGAGGATTGATGAAGTAATGAAATCCGACATGTTACCACCAATAACGAAGGGATACAATTGCTAGCACCCAACACCATTGATACAAACTTGTTCCCATCCAAGAACCAATAAAGGAGTACAGGCCCTCACACATCTCAAATGAAAAAAAAAAACCTAATACAATATACAATCACATATTTATAATCAACAAAAGAACTAAATGTAATGAAAGCAAACACACGAAAATCTCCTTGCTACTTTTATGAGTTGGATATAACCCTAGCCTTAAAGAGAGCTGAACGGCCTTCCACACTTGAACCGAACCGGGCCGAGGGCCCCCCACCTTGCCCCACTTTAATCTGTCAGGGTTGGTGCAACTTCGACCTCATTTGTCGAAGCTTCTGACTCCTCATGATATGCTTCAGACAAGTCATGATATGACTTCAGGTCGACCATGTAGAAGGTGACAGAGTTGCCATAACCTATTGGGATTAGAGGGCTTTTGACTTTCGACACTTGTCTCCTCGGTGGTATTGTTTAGGTTTATGTTTGAGAGATGAAAGAGGGTATATGAGACTATTTTAAGGTGCATAAAAAATATTTAGGGTTTCTAATTTTAAAAATCAACACGAGGGATACGTTTGACATTGGTTTGGTGGGCTTAGGTTGAGGAGGTGGAAGAGGGTGTATGAGACTGATTCAAGGTGCAGAAAAATATTTAGGGTTGCTGATTTTGAAAATCAGCAAGGGGAATTAGGATTTTGGGTTATGTATTGGTGGATTTTTGAAACACTAGGATGGAACTAGGGTTAGGCTGGCTCCAATATCAAATGACACTGAACTTGGGCTCCTAGAAGGTGTTCTGGAATCCGGTTTGACGGGGAGGAGGTAGAGGAATAGTAAGTGGATGAAGTTTTGAGCGATCGAGGATATTTGAAGATGGATAGATGATGTTTGGTGGTTGTCCAGACTGAAAACTACCATGAAAAATGCGAAACAGTGGCACAGATGTCGAGATGGGGTGTCAACTGAAATTGTGGTGTGGATAAAGACAAGATAGCGAACCATAACTAATAAAAGCAGTTTTCGTGCTGCAAACAACAGTTGGATGCGAGTTGGACGATGAAGGAGGGATCACCACTTCGATCTTGTGAGATTATAGACTTATCGCCTGAAATAAATTTGAGGATACAACACTCCAATAAAGATAATCAAGAGAAAACATATCCAAAATACATAAACCAAGCAAAAAGCCTCTCAAAACAAGAATGCAAACATATAAGTAGTTCATACAAAAACCAAATTAGAAAATATAGGAATATGAAAGAAATTAAAAAAGGAAATAAGATAAATGGTTAGATTGGAAGTTGGTGTTCCGTGCTCCCATCCGAACCTGCTACATGCTTCTCCCAAAGATCATGCGTTTGTTGTGGCACTATAGCTTCTGGTTCCTGCTATTACGGGAGTATCACGTATTGTAGAAGGGGATATCCACATCCCGTTATTCCTGCTCCCGCAACATTCTCACCGTCGGATGTTCTTTCTCACAAAGCTCTTGAGGTAATTTCCAACGATGTAGTTTATCACTCATGTCTGACCATCTGTTGGTGGATGCATTGCTTTGAGATGTTGGGCCTCCCTCAGTAAGGGTAATTCAGGAGGTAAACTATATGACAATCCCAAAATTCTCTTATATGGTGTCGGTTCTTTGAACTCACAACTCTTTTGAACAACCAATGCCAGTCTCGCTGATCCTCCTTTGAACGTCTGCAAAAAGGTAGTTCATGGCATGACATCCTCAATCGTTGTATGGATGCAAATTATCTTGGACTCACTATCTTTAAGGGTAACCAATGATAATAATGCATGAGCCGCTCTCATAGGCTTAGCTTGAATCACTAGTATCTCTCACTCATCGGCCGTAAGCTTGTTTTCTTCATTCTTCTCTTCTAGGTCTTCACCCTCTATCTCTTCTATTGCACTATGCTCACTGAAAGATATTCTCCTGGTTGGGCAATCCGACGCCATGTGCTCAAACCTGTGGCACTTGAAGCACTCCTTGGCTGAGATGAATTTGAGAGTGTTGACAGGCTCCATCTTTTGGATTGAATTCTTCTTGGGTGATATCAGTTTGGGTGCTCCACTGGGTGTACTTTTATTTTCTGATCTTAGTGTTGAACTCTGCTTGTAAGGTGTGTCAGTCACCTGATAATGTTGCTGTTTTTCTAGCTTCAAAACTAGGGTTTGTACATCTAAAATGGACATATATTTTCTATAGCTGAATCACATTACTAATGGATAACCTCAGTCCTACAAGATATCTTGCAACTGTGTCCCTGTGGTTCCACCAATATACATTTCAATATAAGTTGATCAAAGTCTGCTGTTTACTCCTCCACAAAAGTATCTCTTTGGTGTAGGTTGTGGATTGTTATGAACATGTCATGTCGGTAATATGAGGGAAGGTATTTGCGCTGCATTTCTCTTTTTATCTTAGACCACGTAGTGATCTTACTATTTTCTTCTCGTTGCCGAATACACTTCAGGTTCTCCCACACTTATGAAGCATGTTTTCCGAGCTTTGTGGTTGCCAATTTAACCCTTTTATCCCGATTAATAATCTTGTACTAAACAATTCACTCTACTTTTTGAAGCCAACCTACAAATTCATCTTGATCCATGCGACAACCGAAATCTATTAATTTCACCTTTACTCCAAAATCCCGACTTCTTTGATATCCTATGCCAAATCGTCAAGGTAGTTAGTAGTTTTTCATCAATGAAAATTGATTGATGGAAGGGATTTACTTTCTCCTCTCGATCTAATAAGTCACCGTTATCTCTAAGGGTAACTTCACCGGATGGTCTCTTATCGGAGACGGAACCATTTGTTGCTGTTCGAGGATTTCTAGCTGCATATCCTCCATCGCGAATTTCTCCTCGACAACATTGTGTTCTTTTCTCTAGACCAGGTTTCTTGCAGATGTAGGATTGCGATTCAAGATTGGTCGGGTGTTTAGGTTTTTGGGGTAGGTGTCAGGGTGGAGTTTTTATCAATGTAGGAAACTTTGATTTTGAAAATTTTTAGGGTTAGGAATCTTGATATGAATTATTAAGGGATTGATGTGATTTGTTTTTTGAAATTTTTTTATGGTAATAAGAAAGATAAAAACCTAAAAAATATGGGGCTTGCGCTCTAATACTGAATGATACCGGAGAAAGGGTTGTGGAGAAGATTCAACAAGAATAACCAATAAAGCAATCCCAGACAGGAAAAAAATAAAAATTAACCAGAATAAAGACAAGATGTATTAATCAGATAAAAGATACAAGATACCAGAGTATCCAACTCTCATAATCGATCGGGATACATAAATCGCTTTCTGAAGGATTCTTCAAGGATGGAGACCCGGGATGTCACCGCCAATAACTAAGGAATACACTTACCACCACCCAACACCTTGGATACAAACTTGTTGCCATCCGTGATCCACAAAGGGAGCGAAGTCCCTAAAAAATCTTAAATGAAAAAAAAAAAATCCCTAATATTATAAACGACCACTATTCATAATCAACAAAAACCTAAACCTAGTAAATGCAAACATGTGAAAATGCCCTTGCTGCTATTAAGAGTGTGTGACAACCCCGGCCCTAGAGAGGAGCCGATTGGCCCTCCCACACTTGGACCGAACTGGTCCGGCTACGTCATGTAGTTTTAACATTTTCCATGGTTTCAACATTCTATTTTGGTTTTAGTGTTTGTTATTCTTTTAAGAATATGATATATTTGATAGGTTTAAAATTTGAACTAATTAGGTGTGCTTGTATATACTGATTATGAGTTGAAATAATACCAAAAATATATATACTACTGGATGGTTCATATGCCTCCAGACTAGTATACCATCACTTCTTATTTATGTTTAAATCTTATTTTATTTCTTTATTATTATATTGAAAATAACTAAAGATTAATAATAACTTATTATGAGTTCAACTGATCATGATTTTCATTAAAAATATCGAATTTTCTTGTGACGTCTGATATTTCAAACCGTGATTGATGTTCTAAATAACGTGCATACTTTGTTTTCCTTTCATGATTATTTTATTATAAATATAATAGTAATATTTCATTATTTATATGTATCACTGAAGATTAATTATAGATTTTAAACTTATTAATTTTTTTTATACATAATATACTAGATATCCCTTACATTTTGAGCTGCTATCTTGGGCTAGTGGGCAGCAACCGTCCCTATAGCACATGCAGACACAGTTCAACATTTAAAATTCAGTGTTTGTGGTTTCTGGAGATTTGTGCTTTCTAAATCTTGAGAAACCTAACACCGACGAGAAACCTAACACCGACGACCAATTTAGGATTTTTAAAGCAAAACCAGTTCTAAATGTGCGTTTTTGGATTGGTTTTATGGACATTTTGATTTGCTTGGAAAGTGCAGATGCTGCAATGCGGCGTTCCATCTTTTAGAAAAAAAAATAATAAGCGAAAGGCTTATTAGGGATCAATTTTATTTTTTATTTTTAAGTACATGTTTGTTTGTTGTGCTTTTCTTACATATTTTATTTTTTTGTTTATAATAATAAATTAACATGTTTCTGAAAACACTCAAGATAATTTATAGATGTTCCGAGTTTTTTTTTTTAAAAAATCATATTTTAATCTAATTGTCAAACATATTTTATTCAAGTAAAACATAAATAAATAAAAATAAAAAACAAAAATGTTCCCAAACGGCCCCTGATTTTTTCAAGTCGTTCCATGTTATGTTGTAATGGACTTGGTTGTCGCAAGTTATCTCAAGTACGGTCAGTTGTGCCTTGACATGTACTTGCTAGTTTGTCTTAGAATTCCATGCTAATATGTCTGAAAATCGAGGTGGTATCACTAGAAAAGAGTGTTATTATCGAGGTGGTATCACTAGAAAAGAGTGTTATTATCACTTTTATGCTTAATTTTTTTCCTTTTTTAATTTTTTGGAAGCTTAAAATTTTTTAGATATCATGTTTTCTCTGGCAAAGCTGTAATTATTTCCAATGTTAGGCCAATTTTGCACTTGAGAAGCTTCAATTTTGGGATTCCATGTAGGCAATCCTTTATCGAAAAATGGGGCTCGAGGAGTTGGTGCTTGAGATCTTAGCCTTGTAAGTTTAACTAGTCCACTAAACCAGTGTTTTATTTTCTGTTAATTATTTATTATCAAATTCTTGGACTGCAATTATACTGATTCTTTGGGCTGAAAGGAAACTGGAAGATTGTGAAGCTGCTGAGCGGTATTGCGCAGAGATTGGTAGAAGAGATACTTACGTGCAGTATGCTCTGTCTTGGAATTGATTTTAGGTTTGAAATACCTTAGTTTTTACATTTTACATATCTGAACATATGCTGTAGGTTGTTAGATATGTACTTGAATCCACAGAATGGAAAGGGCCCAATGTTTAAAGCTGCAGTTCGTCTTCTTCACAACCATGGGGAGTCTTTGGATCCCTTGCAATTGTTGGAGGTATTAATCTCTTGCCATTTTGTGTCAGTGTTATTGTTCACGTATCTTGAATAACTGATGTGTAGCCCTTTTCTGACTGATGCCAAGTTTTGGAATCTTTTCAGTATGATTTCTTCTGGTTCATTTAAATGTTTAATGCATGAATTGATATTTATTTCTTATTGGAAGTCAAGCTGTTATGAAGTTTATGTTATGTTTTTCCCTTTTTTCATATTTATTAAAGGATTTTTTGAATTGTTCTGCTAAGTTATGCTATTGCATGATATGCAGAAACTATCACATGAGATGCCTCTCCAGCTTGCCTCTGGCATAGTACTGAGAATTCTTAAAGCTCGAGTCCATCATCATCATCAAGGACAGGTAGACTGTGCAAAGAAATTAGAAGCTTCTTCATTTTTTTATTCAAGCTGAAGGGACAAGACTTCCATTATGATTGCCTTAAACTGATGCTTTTTTAGATCTGATTAAGTCTGTTTTTCCAACGAAAGTTTTTTATTTTTTTTTATTTTTTATTGTACTGACAGCCTTTTATTGGCCCTAGTTTCATAAACGCAAAATGCTTTCATTGAAATTATTTTAGAAAGCACTTGTTTTGTTCTCTGGTTATGGTTATTTTTCTAAACAATTAGGCCAAGTTTCATATTGTATCCCGATCCATTGATGTAGTCTTTGCTAAGTGCTTTAGAATGCGAAACTATTTTAAGGTTTGCATATATCTTTGGTTTTTATTTTAAGAGTGCATTTGAATTTTAGGTTCTGACATTTTTTTCCTCATTATGTTTCATGTGTTTCGGTTTCTCTTTCATTTTTGTGAAGAATTGGCTGGGTTGAGATGGAGTTGTGATTGTAACGAGTGTGCAAGCTTTTTGAATGTCTTCTTGCTCCAAATTGATAATTGGATTTTAATCAGGGCTTTAACACCTAGAAGTGCCATTATGAGCTTAAAGCCTTGAACTCTTGAAGAACTTTAGATTATAGGGGCATTTACTTACTTCTCGATTCTTCTGAATTTACATATCTAAGACCTAAATTTTACTCTTGACATTTATACCACCCAAAAGTTTCATATCACATGAAAAGATACCACCATTTTAACTTTTAAGAAGTGGATTACACCTTTTCATGCATACCTAAGGCGGCATGTCGGTAAAAATTGAAGTTCAGGTTTCAGATATGTAAAGTACATAGGAATTGATCGGTATGCATGTAAATCTTCCTAGGTTATAATATATGTTTTTTTTTTTCATTTAGTTTGAGGCGACGAAGAAATTCAGGATCTGTCAAAAGAAAAAATGAAAAAAAATAAAAAGTTTTTCGTGATAGTCTTCTTGAAAACTGTAAGTATACGAGTGATGGTAAAGCAAATTTGAATTTGCTCACGAATGAAATTGATTTTCTTCAAATTTTGTTCTTTTGAGAGATAGTTGGCTTTAAAAAATTTTAATCTTTATTTCAGTTTTATTCCTTTGTCCTTGATATGTTTTCTGCTGTTTGGGAATGTGAATTCAGCATTTGAGAAGGGGTTGATTGTTGAATTCAAATAGGAGGGGGAAGGCCACGAAATTTGGAAAGCCACAATCAGCCACAAAATCCCCATGCTAGGAAAGAAATAGATGATTCTAAAGTAGAAATGACTAGGCATAAAAAATAGTAAAAAATGAAGATACCAAAAGCAGAAATTCCTAAAATTCCGACACTCTTCTTAAGTTGGAGCATAGATATCTATCATGTCCAACTTGCGTACAAGGAACTCAAAACTAGGCGTAAAAGAGACATTTGTGAAGATATTTGCTATTTGTCGCACGGTTGAGTGAAAGACATGCAAACAACTCTACAATCAATCTTCTCTTTTTGAAGTGTATCAATCTTCATATGTTTTGTGAGATCATGTAGCACTGGATTTTCTGCAATGTTTATAACAACTTTATTATCACAACAAAACTTCATTGGCATGTTTATCGGGATCCACAACCCGTCAAGAATTCTCTTTAGCCATAACATCTCACATACTTCATTAGTCATAACTATATATTTTGCTTCGACACTACTACTTGCCATTACATTCTACTTCTTATTTTGCCATGTAACCAAAGTCCCCCATGCAACCAGATTTCCCCAAATTAAATATAGTATTCGGACTTCAATCTACTGTCAATAACTGAGCTCGCCTAATCTGCATCAGTGTATGCCTCTATTTTCTGTTGCGTGGTTTTCTGAAAGTGTAAGCTCTTGCCTGGTTTATTTTTTAGGTATCTGAGAATTCAGTTAACCGTTTCAAGATATTTCTTATGGAGCAAATGCATAAATTGAGTTACCAAATGCATAACAAAGTCGATATCCGATCTTATATGCTATAATTGTATCAACTTTCCCATCAACTTTTGACATAGATCTGCATTTACTGGTCATCTTTCTTTCTATCTCCTTGTTTTTGATTTGGATCAATTGAAGTGTTTGCAGGTCAGCAATCACTTATCTCTTCTTTCGTTAGAAGATCAAGAACATACTTCCGTTTGGAAATAATCTTTTTTTTTTTTTTTATCTAGTAACTTCCATGCTAAGGAAATACCTTATAGATCCTACGCCATTTGTCTAAAATACTGATGATGGGAAAGTCTTCAACCGGTTCATTTCATATATGTAATCTTTGGTGAGAATTATATCATTCACATACACAATAAGTATAGCTATCTTCTAATCCTTGTAATAGCTGAAGAATATTGTATGATCTCTTTACTCTTGAGTATACGCCTGACTTTTAATAAATAATATAAATTTTTTAAACCATGCTCTCGGTGACAACTTCAACTTGTATATGGATTTTTTTTTAGTTTACACACTTTTATACCGAATTTCTTACTAAATCGTGAGGGTGCATTCATGTAAGTCCTCATTGAGAAATACATTTTTTATATCTGACCATTGTAGGGGCCAATCAAGATTAATTGCAAGTCACTTAAAAACACTTATAGAGTTTTGTATTGCAACTGAGGCGAATGTCTCTTAGTAATCAATTTAATAGGTCTGAATAAATCCCTTGGTAACCAATCAAGCCTTGTATCGTTCTAGAGAGCCATCAAAATTATACTTGACTTTAAACACCATTTGCATAGGATAATTTTCTTTCCACTAGGTAAATCAACCAATTCCCACTTGACTTTTTTTGCCAGAGCTTTTATCTTTTCGAAGACAATCTCCTTCCACTTATGAACTTTCAGAGTATGCTGCATAACATAAGAAATTTTCATACAGGACAAATGTAAGGGTAAAATCCTGAAAAATGTGTGAGAAATTTTTATATGGCATATAATGAGACGATGGATGTTGGGTGCACGACCTCATCTCCTTACAAGTAGCAATGGGAATGCTATAATCATTAGATTTAGAATTAGAGCTAAACTCAGTTCCATGATTAGAAGATTGAAAACTCGAAGATGAAATGGGCTGATCATAAGATAAAGGCTTAGTGAGGACATTACTTGAAGGGTTCATAAATTCTGGGCAGTGCACATGATTTGTAGACTTTCTCTTTTGAGTTGCTCTTTGTTGCGAGTAAACAATGTCAAATGGTACCTATGTCGTATTTCTTCTTTTTGTTTCCTCATTGTTAGTTTCAATATTATGAACATTATGAGATGACAATATCGGAAGACTTGAATAGTCCTCAATATCTAAAAAACTCAACCTACTTTCTCCTAATATAGTATAGTTTGGATTTTTAGGTTGAATAATCATGGTTGGGGATATATTATTTGATGAGTCTTCGATTTGAAACAAATCCTGAAAATAGCAGTCGGTTCTTTATTTTATTCACCACTTAAAATGAGGCGTATAAAGTGTTTTAATTCAAAAAAGGTGACATCTATGGTAACAATTTTTTTTTTTTTTAAGAAATATGTTCAAAACATTTATAAGCATAACCAACAAACATGCATTTTTTTGACCCAGGGTTCAAGTTTTTTCTTTTTAAAATGAATGCGAATAAATGTAGTACACCCGAATACTTTTAAAGGTAAAGAAGACGATAGTCGATTTGTTGTGTAAATTTTATGAAAAATATCTAAAGGTGTTTAAAAGTTTAAAACCTTATTGGATGTCCGATTTATGAAGAATTTACCATTAAGAGTGACTTGCCTCAATGATATTTTGACACATGATTTGTAAATTTCAATGCCCGAGCTATTTACAATAAGTGTTTGTGTTTCTTTCAACCACACTGTTTTGTTGTGGAGTGCCGAGAGCTTTGATAGACTATTCATTTTTTTTTAAAAATTGGCTCAAAATATTTTTGAAATATTCTCAGCCATTATCACTTTGTATTGTTTGAATAGTTTTTTGAAATTGTGTTTGTACCGTTGCGTAAATTTTTTGAAAATTATTTTCAATTCAAAATTTTCTTTTATTAAAAAAATCAAACTTTTTTGCGCTAATCACTGAATGAACAGACCATTTTCTTTTATAATATATAAGTTTTATAAGGATCCTGAACATCACTATGAATGAAAATAAATGTTGTAGTTGGTTTATAAGTTTAGGGAGGAAAAGAAGCAAGATGATGAGAAAGTGACAAGCATGACATTGAAAGTGTGGCATATCTTTATTTTGAAACAAACTAGGAAAGAGTTGTTTTAAATACTGAAAAACTAGAATGACCTAACCTTTAATGCCATAATATAATATCATTGTCTTTGAAAGCAACATAATTTTAAAAAAAAGGTATTTTAATATTGCTTATTTAAGTTAAGTCCATCTTCAAAATAATAGAGTCCATTTTTTTCTTTAACAACACTATTAATTATCCTTCTAGTGATCAATTTTTGAAAATCACAACATGAATGGTAGAAATTAGATTTACATTGATGGCCATAGGTAATTTTACTAATGAATAATAAGCTACAAAACAAATTGAGAACATGAGCACATCGTGAAGAGTTAACAACAGGGTGAGTTTGAGAGTTATTGTCTCAACAATTATCGAGAAGGAACCGTCAATGGTTTCGACATTTTTATTGCCTACATAAGGTATAGAGGATTAGAATAATTTAGAGCAACCAATCATATGATTAGTTGCAACAAAAAAATTAGGATGATCTAATTTATAATGCCATAACATAATATCGTCGTCTTTGGAAACAACAATAGGATTTAAAGAAGAATTTTACTTTTAAATGTTAAATGCAAAAAAAAAAAAAAAGGAGAGACATACATGCATATTAGACTCACTCCTTGATGGTATTGATAGGGGAATATAATATATCTGTACGTTAATAGAACTGAAAATGAAAATGAAAATTTTTGCCTACCTTTATGTTGGGTTGGAATTGTTAAATGTATGTTTTTTAAAATATACGTTTAGGAAGTAACTTTCAATATTGAAAAATATAATAAAAAATGAAAGTAATTAAAATTTTTTTTCTATATTGATTTTTTATTAAATTGCATTTTTCTGCCAGTATCATGTCCCAATCGAGAAGAAACCATCAATGGTTTTGACATTTTTATTACCTACATAAGGTATAGAGGATGAGAACAATTTAGAACAACCAATCATATGATTTGTTGCATCACAAAATTAGGATGACCTAATCTATAATGTCATATAATAAAATCACTGTATTTGGAAACAAAAAATAGATTTAAACAAGTATTTTACTTTTAAATGTTAAATGCAAGAAAAAAAAAATAAAATATGAGACATACATGTATATGGGAATCACCACTTGATGGTACTTATATGGGAATGCAATATACACATGAGCGAAAATGGAAATGAAAATTGTTGCCTATCTTTATAGTGGTTTGGAAATGTTAAATGAATGTTTTTTAAAGTGTACATTTAGGAAGTGACTCTCAATAATGAAAAATATAATAGAAATAAATAAAATTAAATAAAAAAATAGTTTCATTATTTTTTTTGTTACATTTCATTCTTCTGCCAGCACCGTCTATAGGTGACTCCCATATGCATATGCATGAATATCAGATTTTATTTTATTTTTCTAGCATTTAGCATTTTAAAAAAACATGATTTTTTGCATTGTAAAATAAAAGCTGAAAGGAGTAAAAGCATGTGTAATTGATTTGAAAAATAAACAGAACTATCCCCCCCCCCCCCCCCCCCCCTACCTAGTCCATTGTCCTGTTACTCAGGTGAAACTTGTCCTTTCATGTGAGCTTGTTTAATTTAAGATAATCATTACATAGCCTTAAACTTCCATCTTTCTTCTTAACAAAAAAGTACTGGAGCTCCTCATGGGGAAGCCCTTGGCCTGATAAATCCCTTCTCTAATAAGTCATGTTGCTCTTTAATTGTTGCAGTTCATTGATTGTCATCCTATGCTTTTGCCACTGATTCTGCACTAGGTAGTAAATTGATAGAAAAATATGTCTCTTCTTTGAGGCAAACCTGACTAATTATCTATGAATACTTTTGGGTACTTCTTACTTACTATTGATATATCTTCGAACTTCTCAAATTCTTTCACAATATCAATGACTTCAACTAAGAAGCCTTGATACTATTTTATTAACAGTTTGTAGGCTTTTAAATTAGTTATCATCATAGATAGGTCTCCTCTATCTTCCACAAACTTGAATTCTTCTTCATTAGGGGTATTGAATTGGATTATCTTTTTTAGAGAAATCAATGGTTGTGAAGTGATTAGATGGCTAATCCATCCCTAGGATCACTTCAAATTCAATTAATGGCAGCACCATGACTGATAAGGTGTCAAGCATCCTGAATGATTCCAATCCTTCGAATCTCACAAATTCTTAGATATAAATGAATGTGATACTCTAGCATCAAATAAAGTTATAGCCAGTTTACTATGAAATCCTGAAACAAGAATAAGAAGGCGCTAATCCTATGGAAATCCACTGATTTCTTTGAGGACCCGTTGGTTTGGCTTGCCATAATAAAAGAGTTTAATATTGACATAATAATATTATAATATCAGTTATATTTCATGCACCATAATTAAAGAGCATGAATATAATTACAAAATATCCACCAGTATCTATAACCAATTATAAAACTGTAATAATGAGATTTATCATATTAATGCTATAAAAAAGTAATAATTGTTGAAAGGCATGCTAATAATTAAATTTGAGTCTATGCAACAATAAAACAAGGCTAATTACACAGAAAAGTCATTATAAACAAAAATGAAATCTACTGTAATTATATTAACGCAATTTCAATTGTAAGACCGACAAACCTACAACTAGCTAGGAATCTAATAAAAGTAGCAAGGTTAGCGCCTCTAACTAGTAAGGGTACGTTTCTCTCATAATAAAGAACAATTCATTACCTTAGGACAAATGCTAAACTCCAAATTTATTGATTCAATGGATGTTGACTAGCATATCCTACTTGTCAAAATTTAAAAATTTTGCAGTTAGACATATTAAGATTAATTATTTACTTGGTTAGGTATAGGGATTGATTTGAAATTAACTTTATTCTAACGTAATGATATTTCCAAGTAAAATAATAAATTTAATTGAGTTTAAATTTGATAACATTGTTATTGAAAGAATTAGAAATATAAATCCAGGACTATGCTCACCTTAGGTATCAGCTATGGAGGTAATGAGGATGGGGCTGTGAAGTTGCTAGAAGGACGAAAAAGATAGGAGTTTCGGTGTGTTTATATATGCCGCAATCTGTCATTCTCTTCTCGACTTGCTCTCATTGCAATTGTATCACAAGGTTTGACAAACTAGGAGAAATATAGAAGCTCGGTGGTCTCTGTATGTCACAATCCCATCGTTGTCTTCCCGACTAGTTCTAACTGCTATTGTATTGCAAGGATTTGATTACTAAGGCTGTGGTTTTGGTCGAAAATAGGGGGGGGGGGGGGGGGGGGGGGGGGGGGGGGGGACTTCAGTGACTATAGGAGGTGATGGAGAGGAGAGGCGAGCGATGTCCTGACTTCGGCGTGGGTCCTTCCTAAATAGCCGAGAGAGACGATAAAACAACAACAATAAAAGTAAATGAGGCAACAACGTACCGAGGAAGAAAAGGAAAGAATCGGTTTAGGACGAGCAATTTGGGAAGGCGGCATGATTGCGATAACGACCGTAGGAGAAAATTTCGGTTCTTATAGTTCTGACTTGGGTTGCTTCTAGTGCTTGTTTGGATTTAGTTCTGGCCAATGAAAGTTTTTCCTTTGAAAAATTTTGGGTTTGATCCTTAGATTTGGATGGAACCGATGCCACTCTATCCTACTTGTTTTCTAAGTTTTAAAACAAATAATTTTCTTCGAAATTGTTTCATTGACCAACATTTATAGTATCATTCCATGGGAAGTAGAATCCTGATTTACATATTGTTTGACACCAAAACAATCAGATACTAGGTTTTATTGCTCTTGCTGCTGATACTGTGTAACGACTAGCTAATGTAACTTGACATACTCGACAGCTTATTAATCCTTGAAATGTGATGCAAAAATTATGATCAACTGTAAGCTGTTAATCTATCAAAGCAAATAAGTTTCTTATGTACCTGACTTTTAATTAATTTTTATTTCAATATTTAGAAGGGGAATTTACACAATTCTTATGTATTTACATGTCTAACACAAACTTTTATATTTACATGGATAACACTTTGGCATGATAAACCCATGCACTATAGTGTATTCACTTTTAAAAATAGTGATAATGATATTTTTGATATGATATTAAAAAATTGAGTGCTATGCATATGCACATGGAAGTTTTCATGTTAGATACATAAATACTAAGAAGGCGGCAATGGGTCCTTCCTAAATAGCCAAGAGAGACGATAAAACAATAACAATAAAAGTAAATGAGGCAACAACGTACCGAGGAAGACAAGGAAAGAATCGGTTCAGGACGAGCAATTTGGGAAGGTGGCATGATTGCGATAACAACCGTAGGAGAAAATTTCGGTTCTTATAGTTATGACTTGGGCTGCTTCTAGTGCTTGTTTGGATTTAGTTCCGGTCAATGAAATTTTTCTTTGAAAAATTTTGGGTTTGATCCCTAGATTTGGATGGAACCGATACCACTCTACCCTACTTGTTTTCTAAGTTTTAAAACAAATAATTTTCTTCGAAATTGTTTCATTGACCAACATTTATAGTATCATTCCATGGGAAGTAGAATCCTGATTTACATATTGTTTGACACCAAAACAATCAGATACTAGGTTTTATTGCTCTTGCTGCTGATACTGTGTAACGGCTAGCTAATGTAACTTGATTTACTCGGCAGCTTATTAATCCTTCAAATGTGATGCAAAATTTATGATCAACTGTAAGCTGTTAATCTATCAAAGCAAATAAGTTTCTTATGTACCAAACTTTTAATTAATTTTTATTTCAATATTTAGAAGGGAAATTTACATACATACCACACAATTCTTATGTATTTACATGTCTAACACAAACTTTTATATTTACATGGATAACACTTTGGCATGATAAACCCATGCACTATAGTGTATTCACTTTTAAAAATAGTGATAATGATATTTTTGATATGCTATTAAAGATTTGAGTGCTATGCATATACACATGGAAGTTTTCATGTTAGATACATAAATACTAAGAATTGAGTGGTATGTATGTAAATGCCCATATTTAAAACTCTCATTTCTGTATGATTTTTTTGTTGAAAAGATGACTTTGGTTAATTATACTGCAAAACTCATGCTCATCTATGTCCTCCAAGGATTTTTAAAGCATCCACATTTTTTCAAATCATACATTTATTATCACAGATGATTTTCTTCGAGTCTAAATGGTGTTGTGCTGGTGGACATGATTGTATTGTTTTGTCTTATCAGATAGTTCATAATATTTCACGCTCTATAAGTCTAGATGCACAATTGGCGAGACTGGAGGAGAGATCAAGAAATGTACAAATAAATGATGAGAGCGTTTGCAACTCTTGCCATGCCCGCCTTGGCACTAAACTTTTCGCAATGTATCCGGATGATTCTATTGTCTGCTATAAGGTACAAACTTTCTTCTATGCAAAAGTTTTGGAGTATTGGGTATTAATTTCGGTGTCACTTATCTCCACGTGCTTCCTGCTAGTCTAACTGAAACAATTCATATTAGATTGCTGCATACAGTAATGGTTAGTTTTTTTTAATGTGTTTATAGCATTCTCACTATAGGTGTAAACAAGTAGAGTCGAGTTGAGCTTGAGTCACCCTCAGCTTGAGCTTAAGCTTGATAAAGAAATTGAGTTTTAGCTCGAGCTCAATCCTACGAGTTTGTGCCAACTTGTTTATTATGAATGAGAGGGAAAACTATTAATTCAAGTTAGTATTATAATAAAATGACATAGAATTGATATGTCCTCAAAAATTTATTTTAATCATGCATAAATTTTGGAGCATTTTAAATAATAAACATTCTAGATTCAAATTCAAAATTATTTAGGGCATCGATTTAGGTGTAAACAAGTAGAGTCGAGTTGAGCTCGAGTCACCCTCAGCTTGAGCTTAAGCTTGATAAATAAATTGAGTTTTAGCTCGAGCTCAATCCTACGAGTTTGTTCCAACTTGTTTATTATGAATAAGAGGAAAAACTATTAATTCAAGTTAGTATTATAATAAAATGACATAGAATTGATACGTCCTCAAAAATTTATTTTAATCATGCATAAATTTTGGAGCATTTCAAATAATAAACATTCTAGATTCAAATTCAAAATTATTTAGGGCATCGATTTAGGCAGGCGAGCCCAATGAAGTCAAAATTAGCTCGCTCTGAGTCCGATCAAGCCATTTAAGCGTAATTAGTACCTTTGGATGGACACTTGAATGCTTAATAGATTCAAACTCTGATAAATTTACAGTTAAATTAAATTTCTTGTTGAGCTGAAGATTACTCGATTATGATATTATTAAGACACTCTAATATTAAAAAAATATCATCCGATCAAAGAGATAGTTCTGTGTCGTCTGTTGGAGTGGTTCAAACTCATGCAATAGTTATGACACTCATAAAATCTATAAATAGATTCTCACTCTCTTCATGAAACGAGATTTGGGACTTGGACTTGGAAGAGAAAGTTGAAAGTGCTTCAAGCTCTTGAGGGTTTCTAAACTCCTCCGTCGGACCACCATCAACTAGCTGATGCCATCGCCAGACCACCATTGAGCTGTTGCTAATTCCAGAACACTATTGCCATGCCACCACTAACTAGTTGATGCCACCATTAAACAACCGTTGCCGCTGCCCGATCACCGCCTTTGAGCCATCGACATTGCCGGACTTCCATTGCTCCACCACCTCCATCCGACTGCCGCCACTGTCAGACAATCATCCCTGCAACTTGATTACTATCGTATGACCGCCGCCGCTCGACCCCATTGCTATTAATTTTAGACCATAGACTTCACCATCGGACTACCATTGTCGCTGCCACCGAAAATTTGCTACCCGACCATCTTTGTAGCCATCGCTACCACCGACGTTGGCATCATAATTTTCGACACTTGACCTCTATCGAGTTTTTCTTTACAACAGTCGAGTCATCATCTCTTCCCCAATATTTTTTTATCACTTTTATAGTGAAAGTCACATCCCAATTGGTGTAATATTGCTTCTGGCTTTTCAATGGCCGGTAAAGTTTTGTAAACGAAATGACAGTGAAATCATTTCAATTGGGTTAGACTCCATTATTTTTGCCTTGTCGGGTTTTTTACGTAAAAACTCTTGTTGTCTTTTTTGTCAATTTCTTTTTAGTTATGTGTGTGCTAGATCTTCGTACAATACTAAGACGTTAATGTATCAGTCTATCACCTCAAATTTACATCCCACAATAGTTTTGCAGTAGAACTTATAAAACTTGTGAAATGGCCAATAAACACCAAATTGGTAAAGATGGAGCACCCTGTTCTAATACCCATCACTCTAGAGGGAAATCTTAGAGCCAGGGACGCCAATCATCTGATTTTTACCTCCACTAAAGACATTATCTTGCTGGCGCAGACGCCTTAGACTCATCTTTGGAAGGCCGAGTGCGTAGAATGGAGGAGTTTCAACATGAGATTTTTTAGCTCCTATGTGAGGGTCGTTAGCCGATGCCCACACAATCAGATAGGATGTTTAGCCACAAGGTGAACAAGTTGCAGAGAATCCCTCTCTGTTATGATGGGATCCCTCCTCTGGCAGGTTAAGACGTCAGTCTCTTCGATAATATAAGTTCCACCTATCCATCTTGTCCAGTTAGATCGACTGGTAACCCTCTAGCGATCACAGAAAACTTGGCTTAGTCACGCCTTACTTATGCTTCTAATGATGTAATTCGCGTTGAGCTACGACGTCTGGTTCAGGAAGAGTTCTCTCTAAGGGATATGGATCATTTCGTCCTCATCGTAATTTTCAGGTCTTTGCCCTTGGTCGAGAATGTCCTCCAACACCCCATCCTATCAAAATTCAATCTTTCAAATATTAACTTCTATGATGGGGCATCCAACCTTTATGAACACATTGATCATTGTCGAACCATCATGCACATTTAGTGGGCTTTTGATGCGCTTCTTTGTCAATTTTTGCTGTTACTTGGCTTGATGAAGGAGAACCACTTAAGAGATTCTGAAGATTTTCCACCGAAGCTCTTCAGATTTTAGTGGCGGGCTCTTGTTAGGACCTTGCTACTCGTCATTAATCCACTTTTATGCTGACCCCGTTCATTGTGTGAAAGCACAAATCACTGCAAATGATACTATCAATGCGCACAAAGAACAAATACTCTTCATGTCATAATGAGAGAATGTTCTCAATAAATGGCTCACTCTATCCAATTTATTGTTAAGTCAAAATCAACATATAATGCTATCTTTGTAAGACCCCTTAACAAACTCTTTGTAAAGTACTTCATAACAAATCTAAAGATTTTTAAAAGCTCATTTCATTTTTCGGGAATTCGTTAGAAATCAAAATGAAGGAGAACCACTTAAGAGATTCTGAAGATTTTCCACCGAAGCTCTTCAGATTTTAGTGGCGGGCTCTTGTTAGGACCTTGCTACTCGTCATTAATCCACTTTTATGCTGACCCCGTTCATTGTGTGAAAGCACAAATCACTGCAAATGATACTATCAATGCGCACAAGGAACAAATACTCTTCATGTCATAGTGAGAGAATGTTCTCAATAAATGGCTCACTCTATCCAATTTATTGTTAAGTCAAAATCAACATATAATGCTATCTTTGTAAGACCCCTTAAATCTATTTTCGGTATTGTGTCTTCTGTCACTCGGGTGCTCGGAAAGAACTTGACATAACCCTATCTTTCCAATGCTCCTCATAGTATAAACCATGATGAGCTATGTAGAATTCTCCTTGAGGGACAAGAATCATTTCTTGACGCATCACGATCTCTAAGGGTCTTCACCCTAATCTGAAATAGTCTTTCAACACCCTTACAAACATGCTTCAAGCTCTCAAAGCCCATGAAAACTAATTCTTAGATAAAGGGCAATCATCGCTGGAGTTTCTAAAGATCGTTCACGTCAACTTCTTAGGCACGATTGTGGATGGGAAGTCTTTTCGCCTTATATTTAGATACAAAGTCTACGAGAACCAATACTAGGCCGGGGGTAACTTTCACTTCAAATGGTCACTCATGTCAACAACTTTGACATGACCACAATTAAACAAATTCTTGACTTCCACAATAATATTCTCTCTTAAGTCTTCTCATAAATACATAAAATTCTACCAATATATTTCAAGTTATACATATAATCTAGACTATTATCAATGAGCCACAGTAGCATTTGAGGTATACCATTGCTGTCAAATGATTGTTGCCCAATTAGTTAGCACTTGAGGTATACCATTGCCTCCAATCCACTTTGTCTGATGTGGTGTAGTATCAACTTCAAGGGAAGACAATTGCCTTGCCGTAGGACTACGGGCCTCGATCACCTCCGACTCGGTCTATCTAATGAGGTCAATCAATGCTTTTTTCAAGGGAAGACAATTACCTCACATAGGATCATGAGTCAACCCCCTCCAAGTTCGATCCGTCCCATGAAAGAAACCAACCCTTTCAATTTGTCAGACAAGATCCTAGCTTTGTCGTCTAGAATACAAAATAAAGGAGGGGAGGTGTGTCCTCCATAGCACCCCCATGGGGGGCATTCATAGGTTCAAGTATGGAAAAAAAAAAAAAAAATTTTTTTTTTGAAGGGAGAATGTTAATTTTTATAACTAAATGTTCGTTTTTATTTCATCATCTTGATCATTTTTTCTTTCTCGTAACAGTGTTATCGTCGTCTCGGAGAATCGACATCGGCACGAGGGCGTAATTTCAAGGAAAATCCTATTTTCAAACCTGGCTGGCTTGTTACCAGATAGCAGGAATTGTTCTCCATCTTGGTTTCTGCTGGTTCCAGGTTAGCAGTCTACATTATCTTGAAGAGCAAGCATTGCATGAAAGATTATTTATTTATTCACCTCTTAGTAACACTAGTGGGATGCATCTGCGCTCAAATTAGCTTTCCATATTCTCTACTGATGCCTTTTCCAAGCAAAGAAACAAAAAATTATGGTTTTATATTTTATTAAATATTTTCTCCCTGTAAATGTGATGGCTAATAACTTGCGTTTGTTGAAGTGCTCCAAAACATTTTGGTAGATTTACATCCACACCACTCAATTTTTATGTATTTACATATCTAACATCTTTACTTCAATTTTTACATATATGTCAACATTTTTATTTACAAATTAATTCCTTTTTATTTATTCCATTGTAATGCCTTTTTTCGAATCCTTCTCGTAAATATTTTCTTATCTAGTATTGTTGGAGAGCTTCAAATGCGAAAGAATGGTAGAACACGAGCTTTAATTTTTAATTTTATTTCTGGAAAATATTATATGCAAATAAATTTATATTTTGAAGGGTGGGTAACATTAAAATTTTGGGTCATTTACTCAATTTGAAAGATAAAAACACGATACATCTATCATCAATCATGCTAATACTGCACTCAACTCAAATCAAACCCGAAAAATTAGGTCAGAATAACGTCCTCTGAATCAGTATTCGCTCGTCAAAGGCAACTCGGCGGGCGAACAAAGCCCGAGTTCTTCCCCTTAACATTCCTACAAAATGACTTGGCCTTTTGTTTGTTCTCCCTTTTGTAGCTCAAATCTATGTTGGTTAGTTGAATCCCTTCGCACGGGTTGGTCTTGCTGCAATCAAGCTTTATTGCTGTTTGTGTCAAGGAAGTACCATGCACGTCGCTAAATGTCACCTTGCTAATCTTAATTCCAGAGCTCTGTGAATTGCAGTACATAAATTAGGGGCATTTATATAAATATCACCATTTTCTATGATGTACATATGTAACACGTAAATTTTATTTTTTTACATTTATACCACTCAAAATGTTCACATCAGATCAGAAATATCACCAAGTACACAGTTCCACAAAATGATATGTATGTATGCAAAAGTAAAAAGTTTAGATGTTAGGTTTGTAAATACATAGGAATTAAGTGGTGCGAGTGTAAATCTTCCAAGAATTTAAGTTTGGAGATATAATTATTTAATATTATGTTATTATAAAAAAAATTATGTTAAAAATCATTTTTTCTATATATATAAATTAAAAAATTTACAAACATAATACACAATTCTTATATATTTACAAATTTAAGTCCTACTGTTAGATGGTTATATTTATAATTATAATATGTTGGTGCCATTAATTCCTACATGAAAAATATATCACTTTTAAATTGATGTTAAAGATTTAATTAATATGTATGTAAATATAAATACTTGTGTTGTATACATACATGCAAATATATATATATTTCAGGAAGGAGAGGTGACCCTAAATAATAATATGCATGATTTGAATTCAGGGTCTTACAATGAAAAAGAACCCCCTCAATAGGTTGTGAATGGAGCTTGAAGCTCGTTAATCACTCGAAAATGGATTTGAATTTTGACTCGAAGTTAGATCAAATTGAAATAAACGTGTCGAGCTATGAGATGAAACATTGGATCGAGTCTTTTTTAGCTGATTTTGAGGCATGCTCAAATTGACTCGACATCAGCTCGTAGTATTTTTTATTTATAAAAATTATGTATATATAATGATAAGTAAAATCTAGTATGATGAGTCATGAGCCGATTTCGAGCCAATTTTGAGTTGGAATAAATTCAAACAACTCAATTTGAGCCACTTAGTTTAAGCCGGATCGGGCGCATGAAATGCACTAAAGCAGATCCCAATAACTCAATTTGAGCAATTTCTAATTGGATCAAACTTCATTCAACTCTGAGCCGACTTGGTTCGAAATCGGATCCAAACTCTACTTACCTCATTAGGGCAGCTACCAGGATTAGGGCAGTAATTCTGATCAATAGAGATAGGATTCCCGACGCGATCCATAACCCCGTGCTGAAACCTAATCTCCTTCACGAACCCGCTCGAAGGCGTCGCCCATGTCTTAACCCTAAATCCATTCTGCGTTCCTCTGAAATTCACCGACCTCACCGTCACATTCTGCACCATCGTCTTCTCCCCGCCATCTCCCAAACTCCCGATCGATATCCCATGACCCGGCCCGCAGGTTATGTTCTGGATCCAAGCGTTGGACACCCCTTCGCCGACGGAGATGCAGTCGTCACCGGTCGCCATGGAGGAGCTGGTGATGGTGATGAATCTCGACATGTGGATGTGGATTCCATCCGTGTTTGGGCTGTTGCCTGGTGCGCTAATCTTTATGCCTTCTACTTTTATATCTTGGCTGAATATGATCGCGATTTGAAAACTCTGGCTGTTCTTCACTTTTGATTTGCTTAACACAACATTCTTCGATTGGCTGATCGTCAATGCCTGCATCCACGAGGTTGATGGTGAGCTTTTTTACATATCAATCCTCTAAAATTTTAAATATGGCGTATTGCAGATCTAACCTTGAAATTTTACATTACAATCACCTAAAAATCACTCGAATGATCGAAAGTCTAAAGCACATCTTCAGGCATAGGTTTATGAGACAAAAGAGTTATAATTTTAGATTAAGCATTTTGATTTTAACTTTTTTATGAAAAATGTTTTTGGGGCATTTACATATATACCACTTAATTTTTTTTTATTTACATATCTAATACCTAATATTTTAACACTCAAATTTATAGTATTACATAAAAATATAACTAGTAACTTTCGAAAGTTTAAAATATGAGTTTTAGCGTATAAGTTATGACCCGGGCTGCGAATTTAATGCAAAGATCATTGATCTCTCGAACATTGATTGTAATTTTGATTCAGATCCAGATTAGATCGAAATACATAAGTCGAGCTATGAGCCAAGTTTGTGGATCAAATTTTTTTCGGGCCGAGCCCAGCTCCACTTGAAATCGGATCTTTTATAGCCTTAGTGATGTTAGGGTTGTGAATTTAGAAATTTAGCTTGAAGATCGTTAACCGCTTGAAAATTGATTCGAAATTTAGCTCGGATAAAAATAAACGAGTCAAGCTACGAGCCAAAATTTTGATTCGAATTTTTTTTCTAGTCAATTTTGTCTCAATCCCAACTTGACTCGAAATCAGATTCGTTTGTGGCACCAAATATTGTATTTATAAATATCAGAATTTAAATGGCTGAAATGTAAATGCATAAGAATACTGTGTTAAGAATGTAAAATTTCCAATATTTTAAATATTTTAATTTAAATATTTGTCTCAAAAAATAAAAAAAAAATCTTAATCACGAAAATAACGGGCCTACCGTTGATCCACCGGGGCAGTTTCGGCCTGCAGCTTTACAGGCCCAGAGCGCTTGTCCACGAGCATCAAAGGTCCCGCCAAAAATTGAGAGCCCATTAACATATTTAAACGTGATCCACTCGGATGCTGTCGAGTAGCTCGTGTAGCCCATAAGAGTACCCTTAATGAAAAGCATTAGTTTGCTATTCCTGCACGGGCCTTGAAATAGTGCTCTACCCACTAAGTAGGGCCCACGGGGCACCACCATCGACGCCGGTTTTTGGTCAGCGCAGGCCTTCGCCCATGCATCTAGGAATGCACGAGTGGAATCCGTCCGTCCATCGGCCTTTGCACCGAAGTCCAATACGTTATAGGCCGAATAAGCGATGGTAGTGAAGTAAAGGGGAATGAGGAGAAAAACTTTAGGGTCCATTTGGGTGGGAAAAGAATAGAGAAGAGATGGGAGAGAATGGGGAGAGTGGAGGGGAGTATTTATAGGCTTGAATTGAAGTGGGGTTGTGTTGATTGAACTCATTTGGCACATGGAAATGGTGTTTTAGTGAATTAATAATCTTTTATTGGAAATTTTAATTTCTTGGATGTTAAGAAAATAGAATAAAAAATATAATTTGGATATTTTATTTTAATGACTGTTTGACTTTTTCTTCTAGATGTAGTCTGAATGTATGTTCATAAAAGAGATTTTTCTTTGAAGTTGTGAATGTGTTTGTTATTTAAGCATTTTTTATTGTTTTGTGCTAGAAGTTGATGAGAGGGAGAAAGAGAGAGAGAGAGAGAGAGAGAGAGAGAGAGAGAGAGAGAGATTAATTTAGTTTTAAATGACATTATGTACAATTGGAGAAGTGAATAGGGTATGAATGAATATATGCTTTTTCTTGCAAGTGAAAAATCATGAGGTGGGGTTTTGATAAAATAGTTTTCATTATTAGTAGTTTTGAATTATAAGTGATTACCATTTTATGAACTTCAATAAGGAGTCAATGTAAAGTAGGGATTATTGCTATTATCTTTGGTGATGATGATGACAGGAGAAACATGGTAAGGTGGGTGAAGGTGATTATGGTGATCCTCTTCCTTAAGGTGAAGACAACTTAATCTTGAGATGTTAAATGAGATGGCACTAAAGGACGAGATGACCATTGAAGATGATTGAGATGATTTTCCTCTTATAGAGCTGACCAAACATCCAAGGATGGTAGGGATTATCAAACTTTGGATTTCCATTGTCTTCATCTCTTGGGAGAAGGCCTACTCGATCATCTAGAATGGTCACAACAATTTTCTTGCATCAACTAGTGCTCACCTTCATGTCACATCGAGTTCACCCCTTAGGGAGCATTAATCTAACTTTTTTCTAGTATATTATCTCCACTTTTATAAGAAGTGATCAGATCATATTTAGTGGATTCCACAAGTTTCCTTTGCCACTTTATCATTGCCTCAAGTTCGTGTCATCTCTACCTATGGAAGGAGGATCATTGCAACTATCCTCAATCTCTTACCAGACTTCCACGCCACATTATATATCACCTCTATCTCATGTTGCCTTCACCTTTAAGGTGGGAGTCAACCTAATAGTCTTTGCTCACATTTTAAATTGCAACTTTCCTACAATGTTTCATCCATCATCTTCAAGTCCTTCTTGTCTTGTATTTATGAGAAGTTCAAGTCATTATATTCTTGTTTATATGAGATGGATCGTCTTGACCATTCCTAACTGCATTTTTGACCTTCATGCACTACATCAAATTTTGCTTCAAAGTCATGCCACTAATGAAACATTTTTAATACTTCTTTTGTACATAAAAAAATGTGCTAGCGCTGATCTTTAGGAGATCTAACAGTCAAGAAGGAAAAAAGTATGATAAAAGAGCGTCTATCAATAGAAGACTAGGAGGCCTACTTATCTGGGTGGATGTTCTCGTCGGAGTTAAAGGAAAAGGCCGACTGAGCAAGAAGAAGAACAAATGGATGAAAAATCAATCCGAATCTGAACTAATTATACTAAAACAAGACAGAAAAGCATCTGAGTTAACCATTACGAGAAAGTTGACCGAAGGCATCAACTTTCCTTCCGATAGACCTAATCCATGGAAAAACCTAGTTCCTCAATATCACCAGCTGTATGACAGACACCCCTGAGGCCCTGCATCAGGGACCAAGAATTGACAATACAATAATATATTATAGACATAAGCTCTCTTAGATGAGGTATGAGCTATCTATCGAGTTACAATGATTCACCATCTACCCAATAATCTAGTCTTGCTCCGCTGACATGAGCCTCTCATTAAGCAATCGAGGGTTGACAACCAAATTATATCAAACAATAAAAAAAGCTTGGTCTATCAAATCAATCATGCCGATCCAAAGTCAGTCAGGCTTAGTCTTATCGACCAAATCAACATTACCAAGACGAAAACAAATGAGCTCATCCGATCGATCCAAAGAGTAGCTGAGCGATAAGCTCATATATATATAATACCTAGAATATCCTATACAACCCTCATTAAAACGGAGACAAATATGTAATATTACTATATTATACAATTTCTCATATAAATAGGTACATCATTTTAAACAATAGACAAGACTTATTACTGTTCATTTTTGTACGTTCCTCCCTCTCTCCTCTTTCTTATATTCTAATACTTGGGTGTGTTTCACGGACAAATCAGGATTCAACATCTTTAAATAATCATTTTTTATTATCATATAACAAATACTATACTAAGTAAATAAAAATTTTTTCATGGAGTTTATGCACAAATTAAGTCAAGATCCCCCAACCCTTTCATGCGTTCAACACACTCTATAGTTACTATTTTGTTTTCTATAAAATTATTAATTTTTATCTTAAAAGAAGGAAAATTATTCATTCAATTGATTTGAATGTCATGTGCTTGTGGAACTTAATCTTGGAATTTTTATTATGTTGATAGCAAGAGAACATGGTCCCTAATCCCCATATAATTATATTTAGTAATTTTTAAGCATAAAATACTAAAGGGTCAAATTTAGTAATTCAAGTTAAGATTCAAAGAAGGGAAATTTACATATGTGGCACTCGATTTTTATGTATTTACATGTCTTACACCTAAACTTTCATATTGACATACATGGTACTCTGGTGCTCTAAATTGCTATATTAAAAATTTGAGTGTTATATGTGTAAATATGAAAGTTTAGGGGTGAGATATGTAAATGCATTAGAGCTGTGCCTCGTCTCACATTTAATTCAGCATGAATTAAAGAGGATTTGTTTTGTGTCAGATATAACAATGATGAAATTATATTCAACTAATGCATGAATTTTGGTTAGATATTATATACTAATATTTTTATGTATAAATTTAATATTAGTATGTTGTAAGAAAAATGTTATTTACCTCCCTTTTTCATGAAAAATTATTTCATACGGACGGCGTAATCAGAGTTGCATGCGCCGTATGATCTCCACCGTTGATCAGATCTAAGTTGTATTTCAGTGAGCCTTTTTTTTTTTTTTAATGATTAAAGTTTTGATCAACTGTAGAGATAGGACGGCACATGCATCTCTGTATAAGCCGTGCGTATCGAATAATTTTTCCTTTTTCAGGCATTTACATATATACCACCCATTCCTATATATTTACGTATCTAGCATCTAAACCTTCGTATATTTATACCATCCAAATTACTCATATCACATAAAAGTACCATTATTTTGACCTTTATAAAGTGAAATACACCTTTTCATCCGTAGGTAAGGCAGCATTTATGTAAAATTTGCAAGTTTAGATGATATAGATGTAAATACTTAAAAATTGAGGGATATGTACGTAAATCTCCATTTTTTTGATATATCAATAATATGGGCAAATTTATAATTAAATATGTCAAAAGAATTAACCATTACGCAAAGTATAGATTCAGGGCATCATAAATATTAAAAATCATTAAATTTTATAATGAATTTTTAAATTAAAAAAAAAAACACTTCAAAATAAATATGTTCAAAATATCTCAGTATATCATCACCATGTGCAATTTCTGCAATTTTACTTTTTTATTTTTTTGAGCATTTACATGCTTCAATTTCTATATATTTACATTATGTTACATCTAAACTTTACTTTTTTGCATTTATACACCCCCAAATCCTTCATATCACATTAAACTATCACTATTTTAATAATAATACAAAAATGAAATACATATTTTCATGCATAAATAAAGTAGCATATATATGTAAAAATGGAAGTGATAGATATGTAAATACATAGGAATTAGGTGGTATGTATGTAAATCTTTATTTTTTTATTTTTGGAATATGGGGCGGTGGGTTTGAGTTATTTGTAATCATTTCATTAATTTAACTTTAGCTTAGATCTAAAGTTGCATATATGTAGCTTTATTTCACAAGGAACCTTATAATATTGGGAAATTATATAAATCATGTGATTATATTTATTAATTTATTATGTTAAGCAACCTATATGTGGCATATCATACTATGGCACATTAAATGATGAACATGAATTACCCATCAAAGTTCCTAATTTTTTTTTTTTTTGTGTAATAATATAGTCTGCTTAATATTTACATGAAAGGTCATAAAAATGAATTAAATTGAGCATTGGAATTAATGGATTGATTATATTTATAATTTTTGGAATTAATGGATTGGATATTTGATTTAGGCTTGAAGTTGATGAATCAATAAAACAAAAGTAAAATGAAATATGGTATGTATAAATAATCAATCTAAATTTATCAAATAAAAAATAAGTAGTTATTTTTAAATCTTAAATCAAGCGAGATTTACATACATATCATTAAATTCTTTATGTATTTACTTATCTTACACCTAAACTTCAATTTTTTACAAACATTTCACCTTACCGACACATAAAAATGTGTATTTTATTCTTTAAAAGTTGAGTCTAATTAGAATTGCTGCAACTTATGAAAAAGCAATTATAAAATTGCAGGAAATTAATTTGATATTCAAAAAGCTTCAGTGACTATTATAATTTTTTTTTTGAAAAAATCCTACCGCAGGTAAAAAACTGTCACCGCACCTAGCCAAAATCGATAAGAAAACATAAATTTAAGTGGGAATTTTTTTGAAAAAATTCCATCAAAATATATTCTATCCACACAGATAAAATTACGATAATTGGGGCTCCAATCGAACCCTTACTCAATATATTTGCAAAACCTTAAACATGTGAAGCAAGCCCACTATTTCCAGTTATATCACTACTTGATATTTAAATATTCAGCACAAATGTATTTATATTGTAACAAAATGAAAGAAATTAATATCACAACAAATGCAAATAAAATGATCTTCTTCTAGTCATGAACTAATGGCATAAATGCTACATAAATATAATTATACATGATCCTTTTTTTTGTTTGGAAGATCAACACACATCACTCAAATCTTGTGCATTTACATATCCAGCACCCAAACTTTAATTTTCACATATATGCCACCTTACCTTTGCATGAAAAAAGGTTAAAATAAGACTATTTTTGATGTGATGGGAAAGGTCTAGGTGGTATAAATGTAAATAATAATGTTTAAGTGTTTGACATGCAAACACATAGGAATTGAGTGGTATGCATGTATATGCCCCCCATTTTTTTTCTGCTTCTCTGACAACATCTAAGTTTGGCAACATCAGCAGTGAACTCTGATGTGAGCCTTAGCTCTTCATATTATTGAAAAATCTCGAAAGACGTACCGGACCGCCGCCGCTTGCTTCGCTGTCACTGCAAGAGTGTTTGGACTTTGATCTGTGCCTTTTCTCCTTTGTTCTCTTGGATCTCGACTTGGACCTCGACCTCTTCGAATCTCTATCGTCGTCATCGTCAGCGCTGCTCGAGGATTCTGAAGAAGAGCTGCAAGAGCTTGAATCAGATGCCCTCTTCCTGTGCTGCAAAATGAAGATTGATGCATGAATTTTTATGTCACCATGCATTCTACTCAAGTCCATGCATTTAGAAATTTAACACCTGTACTTCAATTTGTACATGCATGCAATTTTATCTATGCAAGAAAATGTGTATTTCACTTTTTTAAAAGTAAGAAGTTGTGGTATTTTTTATGTGAAACGAAAGATTTGGGTGTATAAATGTAAGAAGAGGAAAGCTTAGGTGTTAGATATGTAAATACATAGGAACTGGGTGGTATGTATGTAAATAGAAAAAGGATAAAGCTAAGGTTTGTACAAGTATTCTTTTGTTCAGGCATAAATGGAGAATAGTCTCCCACTGTGATTTTTGGACAAGAACTAGAGAATAAAGCAGGCCTTGGAATGAAAAGCTGGCATATTGCGCCTAAGAAAAAATACTCAAGACATCAGAAAGGTGGTTTTAGCATTATATATGATCTTATAGAATATAATGTGTATGAAAATGGCAAACAAGAAATAGTTCCATCAAATTACTAAATAAACCAAATGATGAAGCAGGTATAAAAGAAACCTTTCTCCTCTGGTGACTTCGTTTCTTTGATTCCTTCTCTCTCTTCGCTGCATTTACATGTCAAATAAGCAAAGCACTAAGGTTTTTGCAAGTTGGAAGGATTTACTGAAAAATTGTTATAATTTGCTGAAAATGAACCAGTGATAAAGAAAGAGAAAAATTCAGATATTTAAAAAACAGCATTATATCATTTACTTAGAAAGTCGAGCAATGCAATTTGGTACTAGCAATGCTAATGATGATCAATTTAAAATGGTGACACTAATATGGTTGCGTGAAAGAATCATATAGCCATGTAAGTGTAGGACACATTTAGCTTTAACAAAGCGTTTAGCTTTATTACAAAAGTCTTTTCAAAATGTACATTCAAATTTATAAACATACCATTCAAATCTTTAACATCTTATAAAAAAATACTACTATCGCTATCTTTTTAAAAGTGAAAAACACATTTTCATGCATAGGTTATCACCCTAAGGTGTAGATATCAATTTTTGGGTGTTAGAAACATAAATACATAAGAATTGCGTGGCATGCATGCAAATTTCCCTTTAAATTATTGACACAATGACCGACATCCTTTTAGCTTTTGCTAAAAGCTGTTTTTAAGGCATGATTTCCATTTTATTTTTCCCAAATAACTTTTTTACAAAAAAAGAAAGAAAAAATAAATCCATTCTTTTCATACAAACAATTATTTTTTCTGCTCAACACTTTTTCTACTAAAAAACAAGCGGAAATGGATTTTCTTATTAAATTAAGCCCATAAAAATCTATTCTTCAACATATGTATTCGAGCCAAGAATGACAATTTCTGAATTGATTTTATTCCCTTTAATTTTTCAGGTTTTCATGTCCCTAAGAGCAGCCTAACCCAAGATTAAGGCATATAAGTGGATTCTTTAAGAAGAAGGATCAAAATGATTAAAACATCCCATATATTTCATCTTAATTCAGGCTTTATATTCCTACTTCAAGGTTTTCCATGGCACAAGACCATATAGTTACATCTCTCAATTATATGAGATCATTTTTTATTAAAGATACCAACAAAGCTTTGGCACTTCGTAGATGGTGAGTCGCCTATAGTTAATTGCATGGCATTTCTTCTCCTAATTTTCCATGAAAAATTTAAATTTGCGGCCTTACGTTGGAGATTTGGGTGTTTGTTTTGGAGGGAATGACTATTGGAAGAAGAGTGGTACACCCTGATAGAATGCATTGTTCAATCATCTAGCAATATAATCCTATGAACGATGTTATATCCTATCAGTTCATACATCCACATCTATCCTTCAAGCCTGTATTCCTCCACTCAACTAATATTTCTTTAAAAAAAAATTTAGAAGTGTTGCACATTGTCTCTCATATCAAATGATTCATCCCCTTCAATATCTCTCTCTATAACAGGTTTTGATATATAATATATGAGAATAAATTATTATCCTTTAAGAAAAAAAAATGCTAGCGATAGAACCCTAGATTAAATGGTCAAGGAGATCATTGGAATTATCAGGTTTTAACATTAAAAATTTTGTTTTATGTTTGTTTAACTTGTCAGTGGCCATGAGTTCCCTGTCCATAACGATCCTAATGAATTAGGGATGCAAAACATAGGAAAGGAGATAATTTTAGGCTTGGCCTTGATTTACTAAGGCAATGTCTTCTCAAAGAGAATAAATGATTAGAGGCTGAAAAGCATGCAATAAAAACTCAATAGCAGACAGCATGGCCAAAGAAGCTCAAAGACATAACATAGTTGATTTCTATCAAAGTCATAACAGCACGACCAACAACATGCAAAGATCTGTCAAAGCCTACAATGACTGAGAGGTATACTGTGCATAGCCATCCCTGAGGCTTGAAATAATGGTTGACTTGGTAACATTGCTAAAATAGTTTCTTGAGTAAGCCTTTCTTTAGAGATTTGGCACTTCGATGTAAAAAGTAAATTCATAGAAGCACAAAGAAAGTGCCATAATCGATCAATGCTAAATGATGAATTGCCATTGACTAGTTGTGTGACACTATAGAGAGTGCCGTGAAGCTAGGTATTTAGCATATTTGCTTTGTCAAACGCTATTCATAAGACGTTGATCAATGTCACTAGAAGATGCTAATTCAAATAGAACTCATCTATTTGACCCATTCAAAAGTTATTTTAACATAGAACATACATAGGGCTTATTAATTGATATGATTTAATCCTCAAAGAAAGAATGAAACATTACATACTAGGCTTGATATTTCAGTAATGGGTTTGTTGTGTATTGTCGAGTGATGCCACGTCTCAAGAGCAAAAGCAGTCAGTTGATCATTTAGACATCTTCCTGTTCGAGCTAGAGTGAGTGGAACACATATTATGGCCATTGAAATCAGAATTACAATAATTTAGCATTTCATAATTATGGCCATTTGATTATAATATATAAAAACTTCATTTTTTTTTCATGTTCCCAAGAACTTGAGAAACCAATCTCTTCAATTTTGGCTTGACCAAGATAATGTTCATTGTGTAATAGTATACATTCATCACCCTTTGTGCAAGCTCAAAATTGTTCGATCCAAAATCTTTTGCATTTATCCCCTTTTTAAGAAATGTAGAAGTTGAAACTCTAACTAAACTCTTCCCATTAGACTCCACTGAAATTCCAGAAGTGACAAAGAGGTGCTTTTTGTCAAAGTTCTAATTAGTAAACTTTGATTTTAAATCTCATTCAAAAGCATTTTTTATCTAAGTTCTCCTTTGTGATGGCTCTTGTACAAAAGTGTCAAGATCAAAAGGAATTCTGGAATTTTTATAACATAGTGCCATTTAGAGAAAATAAAAACATGGAATTTAGCCATGCTAACACATCTAACAATAAGGGCTGGTGTTCCTAGGAAGGAAATGGAGGTGATATCATCCGCTATGTTTGACAAAGAAAAGCTGAGAGTAGGGCGCGTCACAAACCTAAAGCATGGGTAGATGTCATCATAGCCCAATGGATAGTGGTGATGAGGTGAGTCAACACGGTGTTGGAAGAGCTCCTTAAGCATTTAATTAATGGAGATGTCACAACTGCCGAGGCATAGCTCCGTGGACCCTTCAACAACTTGATTGCATAGTTTCTCTTGCTTTTAATTCTACCCAATGGCCATAAGAAATTTAGTACCCCCTTAAAACTTCAGTAGAAGGAAGTGGAAAAATACAAAGATAGAAGGAAGATGAAAAAAAGAATCAGGCCCTACTAGGGGGTTTTAAAGGGGAGAGAGAAGAAGTAGAAGAAGAGAGGTAGGGAGAAAACAAATGTTTATTTATATATAATCATCATTTAACATTTTACAGTCTCAGGCCATTCTTTGCATGAAATAAGATTCTCAATACATATTAAAAATGTTTTAAAACAGTATTGCAAAATATGACGTGTCCTTGCACATTTGGCACAATAAACATATTTAAAATATGCATAAGAACTGAATGAACACACATGAAAATTAGGGAAGTGATACATTAATTTGATCGTGACGTGCCATCATTTTCTGATGTCTTAATCGAAATAAATTCATGTTAGAGTTTCAAATAGTGCAAGAGGAAGAGAAAATGGTTATAAGGAAAACAAACCAAGGGGAAAGATAAAGAAGTCAAGAAGAATAAGAGAGAATAGAGTCAGTTGATAAGTTAAAGAAAACCATTTTTCATTTCAAGTTCAATCATTGTTACCATTTTATAGTTCTAGGCCATTTTTATGTAGAATAGAATCCTCAATACATATTAAAATAAAATAACCCAAACAAATATGGTAAAATATAATGTATACTTATTAACATTTAATAAAACAAACATATTCAAAACAGGCATAAAACTTAAATGGGTACATGATTAAAATCCATTGGCAAAGATTCACTAGCCATAATGATCTGTATTATTTTTTGAATCCTAATCTAACGGATGTATCAAAACAGCACATGAGATAGAGAAAGAAAGAGAGTTAAAGAACTATCAACCAATGATAAAATACTGGCACGGTTGACAATCAGCTGCAGTACTAGCAAATAATACGAACGAGCCTCAATAGGCAAAGATATTATGCTCGCTGATGTGTATAAAATGTGTAGTATTGTATGGTGTGCTTGTTGCATTATTTGTGACATTTTAAGCTTTTCATGAGTATATTAGGTTTACATGTGCAAGATTGGAGCATTTAGCACAAAATAGGCCACGACAACAACTATCCCGCATGTGGAGAGCGCCTCAACGTCGGATGCTGCTCCTCTACATGCAAAATATAGAGAAGACGACATCCCAACACCAGCGTCCAAACGCCCCAATGCCTCGGCTCCTTGATGCCTTAAGGTACCAAATTTTGGCATGAAAACATAGAAAACCACATCTCAACGCTAGGAGTCGAGCGCCCTAATTTCACAATCCCGAGCCACAAAATGTGGTGCCCAAGCCAGCGCGCCGCACCTGTATTAAGTGCCCCTACGCTACCTACTCAACGCCACGGTGCATCCCATTGACTTAGGGTGATTTTGGTGGTTTTGCCTACATCTCCGACACGTGAGAGCCTATATTGGAGACATTTCTTCATGAAAAGGACTCTCTAGCAATTTTTTGATAGCTGACACATTTGGTAGAAGAGAAACTTTAAGAAAAGGCTAGAGAATCAATAGTGCTTGTGAGATTTGTATTTTCTTTATTGTGAGAGCAAATCAAAGTGTGATTACATTGTAGAGGAAGGATCGTGGTGGAGCAAAATGAGATTCATATCAAGTTTTGATTGTTCTTTCTTGTGTAAATTTCAAATATCTTTAAATAAAATCTGATTTATTTTCTCCACACATATTTACAAATTAAGTTCCATTTGATTTATTGATTTGGTAGAGTGATGACTCATGCTCGTTCCATGAAAATCCATGGCTATTTTGGTAATTTAAATTCAGCGTGTTAACTTTCCAAAGATCATTTACTTTTTCTCTGACCACTTGAACATATAACAAACAATCACTTTTTGGAATAAGTATATTGTCATTAGAGGATTGCAATTAAGTAGGGGAATGAGGATTCCGGTAGACTTTGTCGAGTTAAGGGGACTTAACCATAATATGAGGCTCCAACACTTATTATGTCTAGGAATAGAATAAGAAGCAATTATCCTTGATTGTCAACATTAAGCAGGAAAAATTTATTGGAAGAACATTGATGAATCATATAATTCATTTCAAGGAAGTATATTTTTCAAACTAGAAAAATCAAATTTGATAGATTGTACTAGTCCAAATTAGGACATTAGAAAATCTTTCAAAAACTTTCATCATTTTGAATTAAATATAGAATTAGTAAACTAATAATTATCATGTTTGAGAATTAACTTGTTCCTCGTGGGATCGATACATAGACTTATAATCTATGGACTACTTCATAGACACGTATAATTGCATGATAACTAGTGCTTTACCACATTTCAGAACACTCATCAAGAATAAAATAGAATAAGTGTGATTATGATCATGCAATCGAGTTGACCAAAGTTATAGTCTTCTCATTTTATCAATGGAGCTTGTTTGTCTTGTCTTAGGCCAGCAACCTTTAAAAAATTTATGTAAGCATAATTATAGTTAATTAGGTTATAATTATGGTCTTATTTAGCTTTGCCTTCCAAGCCAGTTGACTTAGTTTGACTTGTAAGGGTTGCCAAACCATGTACGGCAGTCAAGAAGCCCTATCATACTGTGTGCTTGTCTTCTGCATTTTCTAAGGGATTCTAAATGTAAATTTATATCACCAACATGTTTAAGCTATTATACGATGGATTTTTCATTTGCAATACATGGCTTATCAGGTTTTTTAATAATTCCATTATTTGATTATCCTTATGTTTGCCCGCAATCCCTTTTTCTAACATCTACTAAGAGCTATAAGACAGGAGAAAGGAAAAAAACAAAGTATTCCAGAAAATAGTCATCCTATATCAGTTCGCTTCACATGCAATTTATTAATTTTTGCGGTCAAACGTCTAATAATAAAGCAAAGACAACACAGTGAGGTAAAACATATTTATTTTTAGAGCATGTTTTCTTTGGATAATAAAAAAATTTCTGCCTACTGGACAATTAAATTGATATTATAAAGGGAAATTTGCATCCTATTCTTCATCCTAGCACACAATTCTTTTGTATTCACATATCTCACACCTAAACTTTCATATTTACAAACATAGCACTCAAATCTTTAATATCACATAAAAAATAACACTATTATCACTCTTTAAAAGTGAAATACACCCTTACGTGCATAGGATATCACATCAAAAATAGCACTATTACCGCACTTTAAAAGTGAAATACATAGTTTCAAGCATAGGTTTAATGCACCAAAGTGCTACGTATGTAAATATGAAAGTTTAGGTGTAAGATAGGTAAATACATAAGAACTGTGTTAATGTAAATTTCCCTATTATAAAAAAACATGTATGCACTTCTATCTTACCTTTTTTTCCATGCAACTTGATTCCTGGATGGTTCCTCCCAGCAGCAAGCTTACGTGCCCTATCAGCCTCCAGCTGTGCCCTATAATCTCGCATCATTCTATCCTTGTCAGCCTCCATCTCACCCTTCTTGAGTTCATCTTCCTGATGTAAAAACAAGAAATGCAACGAGAAGTACTCAGTAACGGCAGTTATTCTTTTTGAACTTCGTGAAAGAATTCAAAGTACTATAATAAACAAAAATGGTGAAGCAATACATTCTGAAGAAAATGAAGAAGATGAAGCATCAAGTTTGAAAGGGATATCAACTAGGCTTGCGGAATTCTGATAAAAATTAGAGCTGCTTGCTCATCAAGAAATCTTTCAAAGATGTCTGAAGGAATAGAAAAATGCCATATAATTTAACAAGCTTTTTTCATCTCTTTTAGAACAAAGATTGAGTAAAAGATTGTGGCAAATATTGGAATCAATTTCATGAATCATTTAGTAAAGTTGAAGGAGAGACTAGAAACACCAATATGGAAGTGATTTTTGTCACAATATCATCATTAGTTTTATCCCAATTATTTATGACTAACCATGCATTGGAAATTAATAAAAATTAAGTTAAAGCAATGAAATGATCTTCTTATGATTTTATTTATGATAAAAAGGCACATGATGATTACGATTATAATTGATTTGACGGGTAGAGCAAAGGCATATTGAACCTGCTATACATATGCAACTATGACAAATATTATAAGTAGCTGTGAACGGACTAAGGATTCCACAATTCTAGCAAAAAGACATCAAAGATAGAATTTATACTTGTATTATTTTGTATCAGCAAGATATCCACAATGAGGCATTTTAATAATATGCCATCTGCTAATATAGTTCTAATCAGTGAGATTTTTTTTTAAATAGTTTAAAAATTAAAAAACTGGAGGTATTAGAGGTATATTTTAGATGAAACTTGAAACCATTTGAGAGAATTTGGATCCATGAAAATGATAATCTGGACCAATAGTAGTGGAAGATTAAGTGAAATCTATATATTATATGTTTAAATGAATTGGTTCTGTTAGAGAAAAGATATAAGATACAAATGTGAACATAACGTCAAAAACAAAATTTGGGTGGTTAAATAAAAAAATGTAATCTGAGTAATATGAAATAATAAAAGAAACTCCTAAGTCCTTAAATGTAGATTTCATTAAACTTTTCATCAGATCAATTATGAAATCACAACAAAAAAATTATCAGCAGGCAAGGTGAATGTGGCATAAAAAAGATGATAATAAAATTATATGATAAAAAGATAATGAGAAATGCAAAGAGAAAATGATAATAGACTCTAATAAAGATAAAGGCTAGAAAAAAAAATGATAATTTAGGCATGTACAATAGATAATAGAATATGCACTAATAAATCAACCGAATAAAATTGTTGTGAAAGACTTTAAAAAAAAGACACTTAAATGTAGCATGATTATAACAAAACACACTTGCATAATATTGTGTTAGCATCTCCTGCAGCATTTGCTAGGAAAAAAAATAAGAAAAAGCATACATAGGCAGACTCCATTAATATCCAAATAAATTAAAATATAAAAAAATAATATATTAATATTCTAATGAATTATGAAATAATAAAAGAAGTATGTTAATATCCTAATATTAAATTATGAAATAAAATTGACCATATAAACATCAAACTATCAAAAGAAATATTGATCTCAAATTTAAAATATATAATACTAAAATATAGTAATATAACAATCAACAATAGTTCAACATAAATTTCTCTCCCACTTCTATTTTCTTCGACTCAAGTATAATATAACAAGCAATAAGTCATCAACTATCAGGTCTTCATTACAATCATCAACTTAATGAATTATATCTATGTTCTCCCCAATCTCCTCCCTCAATTATATTTATGCTCTCATATTTCTCCTAATCCTCAACTTCAATCATCTTCATTTTTCCTAAGCAATAATAGTCAATACAATTAAATCTTAAAATAATAACCATGTTGATAGTTAGAGCTTCAACTATATAGTTTTTTATGGACATCTTTTATATTACTTCTTGTTGACTAGTTTGTACGATGTGAGATTTAATAGATGGGAAATATTTGTTTTATTTTTTATTTGTTTTATTTTTTAACTTATGTTAAAAAAATTATGAACCATCTAAAAAAAATTGAGGTTGCAATTTTAAATAAAGTTCCATATAATTGGGATAAAAGTAAGGAGTGCTAATAATAAAAAAAAGGATGACGCTAACTCAAAAAAATCTAGTTAAGGGTGACAATGACTAATAATGATGACAATCATAAGAAAACATAAGACATCTAAATATATGACAAGCACAAAAAAAAAAAAAAAACCCCTACCTATTCAATAAAGATGGTTAGATAACATGGTGGTTATTACACACAAAATTCAAGGTTAAAAGACATTAGATGGATTCAAATAAAGATGACACACAAGTCTAAATGCTAACCTAGTAATGTCACCATGAAAAATGCAGTTTCTAGCAAAAATAATATAGGCATATTTAATTAATGTATGAGTCAATTATTTTGGAAGTGACATACAAATATCTCAATCAAAACCACATGATTCAACAAACAACACTATACAAGAGAGAGAAAAAGGGAAAATTTGTCATCAAATTCTTTTATAGCATCTGGCGTAAGAATGCATGACACTGTGTTACCCTATCTTAGCTGAATACTTGACTTCTTAATTGAATATGATTTCCAAACTCAATGGCTTCTGTTTGATGTATATATATATATATATATATATTTGATGAATGGGTCGGGGAGTGAGGTCCCCAACCCACCTTATCGACTCAACCCCTGTCAGGTCTGCGAGCAACCCATGCGCCTAAATATTCAAGTACCCCCTCCTTAAGACAACAGTAGCCAGAGGCAGGATTCGAACCCCAGACCAGAGGAGACTTACATCGTCGAAGCAGATGCTCTATCAACTAACCTGGGAACACAGCGTTGCGATATATATATATATATATATATATAATCTCACTTCACTCAATATATATATATAATAAGATTGTCGACGGTCGAAGACCGCCGATCAACCCTTATAGGTTGGATTGACCGAGGGGCGGACCCCCTTCCAGTTTGTGAGCTATTCGATTCCTCCTGAAAAGGTTGGGATTCGAACCCCCGGCCAGAGGGTCTTATGCCAAGCCACCAATGACATGCATATATTTTTTAAAAAAATATAAAATAACTCATTCATCTCACCATCCCACGATCGCATGTGGACTTGCCATCACTCAGCCTCCGCTCTCATCAACCATGAAATCAACAACACAAACCGTTCTAGCTCACCATTGACCATGTCCATGAAGAACCCTAAAGCACAAGTTCCTACACCCCATTAGAGACTCGCTTTCATCTTTATTTTGTTAAAACTAAACTATGCCTTCTGCGAACTAATGCTCATCGCACAATACAACTAGCTCTCTCTCTCTCTCTCTCCCTCCCTCCTTGCTCTCCCTCTACCCTTCTATACACACACTCTCAATCATCTCCACTCTAGTACCAATAACTCACGATTCCAACAACAAAGACCTCCCACAACACTCATCTAATTCTTCAGTGCTAAAATTTTAAGCATCGCAAGAATTCAAGTTATATGACCTCAAATTTGACTTCCACTAGTCCAAAAACTTATTTCAATCAACCTTGTTAATTGGCTTCCTCACATCACAGAATGCCCGAATTTCATGCTAAGAATTTCCCTCTACACAGGCAGAAAAACCAATGAAGAACTATTGAACTTAAGATTGGCTAATACGAATAACCTATCATCAATCTTTGCTCTAATCAAGTTTGACTATCTTCACATTGTTGATCATCGATCAGGGTGGAACTTGAAGACATCCAAATTACTGACTTTGATTTAGTTGGGGTTTGAAGACCTTTGCAATGTTAATCTTTCATCTAAGCATAGTTTCACCAGCCACTATTAATCATCAATCCAAGTTTAGGAAGATAAAATTGCCTCTGGCAGTTAATCTTAGCCAAAACATAGCAATGACCTTGTTGTCATTAAACAATGATAGATGCAGTCATTGAACATTTTAAATGCTATTGACTAGTCCACGACCACTAATTGAAAGTGAACCAAATATTGGCATCACTACAATAGTTGGAGAGAAGCAAAGCACGTCAATCGAATGTTTTTATATGGCTCATATCAAAGTCTAAAAAATATAATAACATATGTGAACTATAAATTTTTATTAAATAAACACTATAGATATATGATATGCAATAAATTGCATGGGTTCCAAAATTAACTACCGGCTCAACCCTACATCCACTCAATTGAGTTGCTTCATAAGACATGCAGATGATTTCAAGCTTGCTAGAAGAGGTATCCCAAATTTTTGCGAAATTATATAAAAACCTCACTCATGCTTATGTAATTGATACCCACACCAAATGCATTGATGTATGTAAAGCATGCTACTACCAACTAATCTCAATTTAAATGCATGCTACAGAACTCAAGTTTGAACAAATAATTCTTGTTGATCTAAGGGTCATAGTGATTCTTCACCATGGGGGCCATCTTACCTATAGTTCATGTTTGTAAGACCCGCTATGAAATATAGGATGTCTTATCTATATGATAAGGTAAGGCACATCCTAACAAGTCATTGCAATTAAATAAATAACAGATATGCCATACTCCGCTTAAACCTAAGGTTAAAAATCTCAATTCATTAGAAGCATCCAATGGTAAAGTTGTAAGTTTAGATACTCCTATCAAGGTTCAAATAATATTTCAAATCAAGTTTTCTCATAGGGTTTTCCTTGCTTTCAAAGTTGTAAGGCCCACTTATGGGCCTTCCAATGGATGCAAGTCATACAACAATTAATGGGGGAGATATAAGTTAATAAGACCATCAAACCAATTTAAATAATCAAGCCATCTTACCTATAGGGCAAGGCAATAAAACTCACAGCTAGGCTCTATATGCCTTTTAATAGAAGTAAGGCCATCTCCATTAATATGGATGATTAAAAACTGAAATTATACTTGATCCTTCCCAAGGATAAGGATTGAAGTCATAAGCAAAACTCACACCACAGCTCAAGTACCAACAAGGCC